TAGGCCTGGAAGGAACACTGGAACTCCTTCAAGCCAAACCTCTCCTAAAAGTCAGAAAACCAAGGCCCTGAGAAGGTAAGAGGCAGGCCCATGAAAAGTGAGAGTTAAAGTCCCAGAGCTGACACTAGAACCTGATCTCTCCATTTCCACACCTATTTCCTTCTACGTGACATTTAGTCGGCACTGGAAGACACTTATTTCTACTGTTTGTATACAAACTTCAGCCTGCCGGAGTTCAATGTTTCTGTTCCCATTTGTTAACAGTCCCTGAAAAATACCTGTATGTTATGGGAAGCATTCAAAGGCCCAATCTAGATAAAGTGTAAGAAATTGCTAAAGAAAAACATCAGAAAAATATAACATGAATACTCAACCATTTGTTTCTTTGATTTTCTTGGGTGATGACAAGAAATTTCCACTAAATAAGTCAAATAATATAAAATGTAAACAAACGGTAGCTTTACAACTCCCTCTACTGGGGAACAAAATATCAAAATCTCTCCATAATTATATCAAACAGGGCAGTAAAAAAAAAAAGTGGAAGAAAGGCTATGCAATGGAAACCTTATCTCTAAAATGCACAAACCCAAGCTCACTAGAGCTTTACTATTCTCTCAGAGAAGTACCAATAGAGAAACCAAGAGAGGCTCACATCAGGAGTGCCAGGTGCAAGTTTCTGTGTGCCACCTGCTACTTAAACCACCTGCCTTTCTATTCAAGATCATTTTCCAGGTTTCAAATATATCCTCACTAAATGCACCATCATCAGCAGGTATTGTCTTGACGGCACAGATTACTAAGTACTTCTGCCCCCAAACCACCAGCTCCAAAATATGTACATACTTACATAATTTTATTATCAAGAGCAAAGCAATGATCACAGAGCTACTTCCAGTGACACTGCAGAAAGTACCTGTAGACTCCAGGAAACTGGAGATCCCAAGTGACAAGCAGCTACCTGAAGCCGTGGCTTTGCCAATAACCTTGAAGTTATTGGTAAACAACTATCACAATAACAACTATATTTCTATAATATCTGACAATAAAATCCCAAAGTATAGTGACTTTAGGGGAACAATATTTTGTAAAATCACAGTGTCGCATTACGAGGGAGTTAATAAAAGAACTTTTCAATTCCTCTTCTCTGGGCCAGCTTTACAAGTAAAAGTTGGCCTAAAACACTTTGGATGAGGTCTGCTTAGTAGCAAGAGAGACAACTCTATATCAGTAGTTCTCAAATGGTACAGCAAGAAAGTCACGCGCTCCAGTAAGTTGTAAGGAATATGAGTGATATGAATATTGACTGACGTGATACCATATCCCCACGGTCATCACCCTCACTCACCTGCACCCTGATCTATTCTGTTTACTGGACAGGAGATGGAGTTCCAGGTGAGACACCAGGTGAGGCTGTGGGGGATGCGCTTCTCCGCTTTGCCTTGGCCTAGCAGCCAAACGNCCTGATCTATTCTGTTTACTGGACAGGAGATGGAGTTCCAGGTGAGACACAGGGTGAGGCTGTGGGGGATGCGCTTCTCCGCTTTGCCTTGGCCTGTAGCAGCCAAACANCTTTGCCTTGGCCTAGCAGCCAAACGTTTACCAATACACCATTTACAACTGTGACAATTTAGAAATGATTATACCGCCTTACATTTTTGCAAAATTCTTGGAGCTTTTTCAAAAAAAATATGGGTCTACCCATGGTGGGCTGTGGCTTGAGATTCCACTGGTCTAAATGGTCTCTGGATATTAAATTGCTTTAGTAAATCCTTTGTTTTTCTGGAGAGTAAATGCATTTTTCTCCATCTGCTCTTCCAAGCAAACAATGGAGGGATTAGAAATGGAAAAGACAAGGTGAGCGTAAAGCTGCTAATCAGGATGGCGCGGACGTTGGAATCTGACTCTGGCTTATTCACTGAAAGCGTGGACAAAATCCCAACTGACCCCAAAGCACCACAATCAAAACTCACCGTGGTAAAGCATGTTGTATTAGCAACTGACCATTCCTACCAGAAGGTCATAACCAGGATTATTCTGCCATTTACAAGAGAGGTTGTCAAAATCCTTAGCAAGGTAGACTGTGAGTCCCCGATGGCTTGCCTGGCCACCCTACAGCACAGGCATTCCTCAGGGATACAGGCGTTCCTCCCACATAAGGGACCTGAGTACAACAGGGTTCCCTAAGTAGGGAAGGCCATGTGCGTCAGCCCACTGCTAACACTCATAACCCCACCGGCAATCCCATGGCTAGCGACCAGGCAGGCAGGAAAAGACCACCACTCTTTTCACTAACCTCTTACAGCTGTGAACTAACTGTTCTGCTATTGTAGGGCCAGGGAGTGAGGAGCATTGAAAAGGCTTTTTGATATGCAAACAAACTTAGGTCTGATCAGCCAATTTATTGTTTTAACTTACAGTAACAAAATTTACAGCTGGATTTTTATGAATGATTCCGAACTTTGTCGCCGAAAATCTAAAATTCTCTAGACTCTAATCTTACTTCTTACCTTGCAGCAATTAAAAAAAAAAAAGGTAAAACCACTTTTTATTAACGTGAACCATAATCATCATGTTAGAGTCAAGTTATCTGAAAGTTCTCTTCTTCCACTCTGCCAGAAACACTTATCCTGAGACACTCATCTCTTTTTTTTTTTTTTTTTTGGATGTTTTTATTGATTTTAAAGAGAGGAAAGGAGAAATATTGATAGCCTGCCTCCTGCACCCCCCCACCCCCGGGAATCGAGCCCACAACCCGGGCATATGCCCTGGCCAGGGATGGAACCAGCGACCTCTCGGTGCATAGGCCAACTGAGCCACACCAGCCAGGGCAAATTCTTCACCTCTTAAGAGCTTCTTTGCCTCTGGAAATTCCCTACCCCAGCACATAATCTATCAGAAAGTGATCCAATGGCTATTTTGTATATTATCTAGAATTAATGGCTTCCTTAACTAATATCCCTTTAAAACTGTAATACACTTGGCAGTAAATTCTCTCCAATACCCTACTCATCTCTCTAATATCTTTTCCCATGAAAAAATCACCTGTCAGATTACTGTTTCTTTTCAAAATCGACTATAGTAATTACTTAAACTGATCCTCTCAAGGATCCAAGTAGCTAAATTCCAGCAAACTATCCAAAGCCACCGGGGTCATGAAAACCTCATGCTGTGAGTTCACCAAGTCACAGAAAAACCCTCATCTCCATCCTTACCACAACTGTCGTGAAGGACCCTGTCAAAATCCAAAATCCAAAATCCCTGGCCAGGGTCACAACCTCCAGTTCCATCCGAGACCTGGCAGAGAACTTACAAGAGTGAAGCTGGCAGGCCCAAGGGCTGAGCCCGGGTCTGTGTGAGGGGTGGGGACCGTGGCGGGAGGGGAGGGGAGAGCCACTGTTCATCTCGGGCCCACCAGCTGCCCGGTGCACACGCAGGCCACATGTGGCCAGGGCTTAGGACGTCTCAAGACAATCCAGAAAACCTGAATTGTTATATGAAAATTCCCAATCTTTAAATGTAGATTCAATATTTTAAGAACAGTGTACAAGCAAACAATACATGTCTATGGACAAAATCCACTGAGCTGCTGGATTTCTACCTCTGCCCTCACTCTACTGCCAGCCGCAAGGGTGACTGACCCTATCCTTTGCTTCCTGTTAACACTAATGGGCCACCGTAACTATTAACAAGGATTATTTTACACATTAGAAAATGGGTGCTATCAAGATTAGACTCAATCCCAAAGAAGCCTGTTAATCAAGAAATTTCACTCAAACTGGAAAAAAAAAAAAATCCTAACAGGTAAACTGACTTGCACCAACTGATCCTATTACAATTGCCACCATTTATTGAACGGTCACTATGTGCCAAGAATTCTGTTAAACACTATCTATATAAAATCCCCTCCACTGACTCCTTTTCTCCCGTAGTCTATTCACCACACAGCGTTTAAAAAGATCATTCAAAAATACGATCTGATATCATTTCCTTGCTTAAAATTCCCCACTGGCTTCCCACTGCTCCTAGGATAAACCACATGCATCTCGCTGTGACGGAGCGAGATCGGGCCCCGGCCACCTCTCTGCTCTGTCTCCACCATTCAAGTCCTTGCTCACACAATCCCAACCACAGCCTTGCGGCTGTTCCGCAGACACACAGGCTCTCGTCCTGGCTTCTAGGCTTGACACTCGTTGATGTCTTCTTGGCCTAGAATATTCTTCCTCAGGCTTCTGCAAGGCTGCTCCTTCTCATGAGTCAAGTCTCAGCTCAAACATTTCCTCGTTCAAGAGACCTTCCCTCACCAGCTCCCTACCAGTTGCTTTACTATAACCCTATCTTGGGTCCCTGTCATTTATCAGTGCTAAATTATCACTCACCCAAACGACTTAATTCACTGTTTACTTGTCCACGGTCTGCCTCCACTAAGATGTAAGCTAAGGACCCTGCCACACGTGGTCAAGGCCGTGCTCCAAGCAACCAGATTCCAGGCCTCTGCCTCCAAAGGAACATCGTAGAGAAACTAACCATTCATCTAGTGGCATCATCCAGGGCTGTGTTCATTCTTGTTGCAAAAAAGGAAGCATTCCACTCATTCACCTTTTTTGTTTCTTCCCCCAAATATTTTTAATTGATTTTTAGAGGGAGAAGAAGGGGCAGAGAGAGAGAGAGAGGGAGAAACATTGAGGTGACAGAGAAACACGGATGGGCTGCCTCTTGCCCACCCCCTAACCGGGGATCGAGCCCACAACCTGGGCATGTGCCCTGACAGGTAATCAAACCGGCAGCCTTTCAGTGCCCAGGGACATGCACAACCAACTGGGCCACACCAGCCAGGGCTCATCCACCTTTGTGAAGTCCAAGTACTGATCAGGCTTTAGGGGTTTAAAAAAAAAAAAAAAAGACTTACAAATTCCTTCAAAATGACGCAAGAGGACATCATTTTGATCAGGAAATAAAATTGTTTGAGATGGGGTTCAGAGTCTATTTTCTGAGCAACTTACCTCTTTCTCCCTCTCATAATCCTCCTTGTCGTATTCTTCGTCGTCATTTTGGGTCTGCAGTGCCACACTGCCAAAGTCCAATGACATGGTCCTTCTGCGGGACGAGAGAGACATCCGGTTTCCAAATATCCCAAAACTGTCGCCAGACCAAACCTTATACGAGAGACCCACACGCGAAGAGACAACAGCAGCCGCTGGGACAAAGACGGATGCAGCTCATGTATGGCAAGTGGTTAGTATTCCGAATACAAGGAGTTCTGACACATCAATTGTGATTCACAGAAGATAGCTACCTGACACCAATTCACAGAAAAAAATGCAAAAAGCTAATAACCCGATGACGAGACCTTTCCAGTGTTCTGGAAAATATAAAACAGTGAGACTTTTGTCCACACACAAAAAAAATAACATGATAATAAACCGTAAATGTCCCAAAACATAAAAGTGTTAAGCACTAGAAACGTCCCAAAACATAAAAATGGTAAGCCCGCGCTCAAAGTTTCTAATTGGATGCATTCAACATGGCACAGGGAGCATCCTCCACAACTGGCTTCACCCTCTGACGTCACAGATCCAAAGTCCACGTTGCACAAAAGGTGAGCCACGCGATCCTGAGCTCATGCCTGGAACCCCAAAACCGTTTTCAATCTGGTAGACAGACTCCGTACAGCACACAACCAAAATGTTAAGTGGTTAACATCCCGCTCTTACACTTGATAAAATCAGGTTCCAGAAAAAAATAAAATAAAATGCTCCAGAACAACAGCAGTGGAGGCTCTGAAGCGGTGCCACTGTGGGGCTCCAGGTCCAAGGCAGCAGCCGGCGCTCCCTGGAGAACGGCAGGGGCTGAGCAGGAGCAGCCGCAGGAAATGGGCTTTCAAGTACTCGCAGTCCACAGGCCGCTGATGATTTGAATTATATTTGGGGATCCTGACACTGCACAGAAACAACCCAGCACTTCAAAGCCCTGCACAACCCTGCCCGAGAAGCAGGCGGGCGCCGTCCGCCACCCAGCCACTGCCCTCCACTCGTCCTGTCTGCCGGCCAGGGAAATGCGCTCTGATGTGGGCCTGAGGCACAGCTCACGCGCCTCGCTTTTCAGGCTCCAAAATGTCATTAAGCTGGAAGTGAAATAAGAAACACAGACCTGGCCATCCAGAAGCATTTTGCCATAAAGAACTCAACTCCTTCGTGGGAACAGCCGAGAACAGTGATCACAAACCCACATATAAGCCAAGGGCCCTACAGGAAAAGGTATTCCACTCCGGCAGGCCTAAGGCGCCCCTGGTGGTATCACACGGCTCCACGTGTACCACCGAGAAAGAGAGGTGGCCAATTAAATTACGACACATCATTCATTTTAAAACGCAGCCTGACTCTGTAGATGTGAAGATGTGAAAAGAAAAATTGTGTGCCCTTTAAAGTAGGGGAAATATGGTTGTTACAGATCAACACACATAGGACTTTCAGTGCTGGACGCCCCATTTGTCCAGCTTTTGTTTTTCAAGGACTGGATTATGTTTCTCGGCCAAACTCTTCCTTGCGGTCCACCTTTCTTATCCCNTCAACACACATAGGACTTTCAGTGCTGGACTCCCCATTTGTCCAGCTTTTGTTTTTCAAGGACTGGATTATGTTTCTCGGCCAAACTCTACCTTGCGGTCCACCTTTTTTATCCCTNCCATTTGTCCAGCTTTTGTTTTTCAAGGACTGGATTATGTTTCTCGGCCAAACTCTTCCTTGCGGTCCACCTTTCTTATCCCCCCTCCCTGATCCCTACACCAGGCCCATCCCTTCCAACTCTATCAACTCAAACTCCTTGGCACCAGCTGTAAACCCATCCAGCCCAGGCTGTGGCTGTGCCAGGGCTAAAAGGAGGAGAGACATGTGCTCTCTTTCCTTGAGACAGAAAATATATTTAGTCTCCAGGAATAAATAATCTTTCTTGCTTTTGATTCTTACTTGCCTCTTCCTGAACTTTATAATTAAAGTCAGAAAATGGAATTTGGGTTAATTTCTCCTTTATTAGGTAAAAGAAGGGAAGGTGGGGTTTTTTTAATCTTTCACTAACATGCCATGAATATGTTGAATATTAAAAAAGAAAGTTAAGATTTACAAGATCCTACTTTTTCTCACATAGGGGATAATGAATTCTACAAAGTCTTTTCACTTTTTTTAATTTTAAAATCATTTATTGAATTTGGGGGCAGGGGAACATCGATGTGTTGTTCCGCTTAGTTATGCATTCATTGGTTGATTCTTGTATGTGCCTTGACTGGGGATCGAACTTGCAACCTTGGAATATCAGGACAATGCTCTAACCAACTGCCCGACCAGGCCAGAGCCGCTATTTTCATTTTTAAATGAAGATACTGTAAAAAAATTGTAACTTTTTTTTGAATGACATTTTAAATTCATTCAAACCATGTCACTAAAGAAGAAATCTGAAAAAGCTAACATCTCTCTCCATTGGGGAAGAAAAGATACAAACAAGTTCTCCTTCCGAGAGGTGCAAACTACCAAAGACCTTGAGAAACTATTATAGGCATAGAGGGGAATTTGATAAACTTACTGAAGTTAAGAAAAAAAAGACTAAAAAGATAATTAGTATTTTAGTTAAAATTTAAAATAAAAGCTAGTGTTTTTCAACTTATTAATCACTACTAATTACCACTGCTATCAGAGACTTTACTATAATTCTCAGAATAAAAGAGGCTACTTTAGAAAAATAAATGAAAATAGCAAGACAGTAAACCCAGAAGCCACACAGGAAAAACTTGACAGAAATTGAACCACAAAAAAAAATGTTTGTATATGGCAAAAGACTTCATTAAGAAGTTAAAAATTATATATGGAAAAATACATCACTAACAAAGTTAAAAGATAAAATAATAATAATAATGAGAAAAATGTTTGCAAAACATGACAAAGTCCCAACCAATATACAGTTCTCACAAAGAAATGAGAAAAAAAAATTTTTAAATAGTCAATTGACATGACAGTTCATTTAAAAAGAAGAAATGTAAATGCTCAATTAACTTGACANTTTTTAAATAGTCAACTGACATGACAATTCATTTAAAAAGAAGAAATGTAAATGCTCAATTAACTTGACAAGATGCTTACGTTATGCTCATGAAGAATTCAAAGTGTCATTTACACAATAAAATATGACTTTCAACCAGGAAATTGAAAACAAACCTTGATAACATCTATGATGGCTATTTTGGAGGAAACAGACATCCTCATGAATTGCTGATGAAAGTATAAACTGTGAAAACCAGGTTGAAAATGATATATTTAATATTAATATTAAATGATTAATATTAATATATTGAAAAAGGACATTTGCCCTAGTAAGCATACTTTTGAATAAATCTGGCAATACTCTGCCACTAATAAAAATTAAATATTTCTACATGCATTAACTGATCATTTAAGAAATCAAGATGCAGAATAAGTGTACAGTATGCTTTTTTTAAATAGCAAGCTAGTTAATACTTTCTTCGTAGATAGGTAACTTTTCTGAACCTATTAACAAGACTATGCTCTGTCCTTTCATTACATTCAGACCAGAAGGGCTCAGCCTCTACCCATTTTGTGGTCCCTGGTTATGCTGTCTTTGCCCTCCCAGCAATGAGAAGGAAAACCAATAGGGTTTAGTTGGACAAAACATTCAAAAGCAAAAGTAGTATTGTTTTAGCCTCATCTAAGAGCCTATAGGCACTCTGAAGGCAGAAATTAAATGTATCTATCCTACCCTTTGGACATAGCAGGCACACAGCAAATATTGGTTGAATGAATTAATACATTCATGTTGCCCTATATGGATTCATTATTCAATTAAACTTTACTGAGCACCTACTGTGTGTCAGGTTATATCCTAGATCTATCCAAGACACAGCGCTAGACATGGGGAGCTAACAGTCCCTGAGGGAAACAAAGATATAAATTAATAGTTACAACGATCATTGTAACACATTCTGTAATAGAAAAAAGTAACAAAGCAAATATTAACTTTGCCTAAGAAGAAAGGAAGGCTGAGAGAAGTTTCACAGAAAGAAAACATTTCTAATTGGAAACCTGTTCAAGGACACAATTGGCTGGAAGTGGTTAAGAATGAGGGCACTCGGACAACCTGGGCTCAGCTCTGGCTCTTCTATTTATCAGCTGTGCAACTTTGAGCAAAGTGTTTCCATTTCTTCATTAGTAAAATGAAGGTAAAAATAGTACCTACCTCAAAGGTTGGTTATGAGAATTCACAAGATAATGCATATAAAGTGCTTAGCAATGTGTAGCAATCAATACATTTTAGTCGTTATTATTATGACATTATTAATGATGAATAAGCGTCAGCCAGCTACAAAAGAGGTTAAAGGAACAAAGCATTCAGAATATTTGAGAAAAGGTGAATGTTCAGCCTGTGGGCAACTTTCAAATAAGGCAACCCCTTCTGAGATAAATATGCCACCTCCTTCAAGATGCCCTCCCCATCCTGCTCCCCCGCGGACTTAAGTCACTCTTTTGCACTTTTGGTCTACATTTCTTATGCCTTTCTCATGGCTTCAATTCCAGCCATAAGAAAATTCCAAGGCAACTCGCCGAATGCATTCCGGTATCTAGGGAGTGCATATATATTGTTCCACATTGGGAAAGGGTACGACGAAATTCAGCTTAAGTCACACTCGAGAACATGACTATAAAACCGAAAAGGTTTAAGGGCCACAAAAAGAGTTTATGTGAGCCCTGAGAGTTCGTAAATTCTACTTATTTGCTTACATGCTAGCTTCTCTTCTAGAAAGGAAAGAGCCAGCGACACTAGCCTATTCTAGACTTGCAATACCAGGCTTAGGAGGCCTGTTCATTCATTCGACAACTGCTTACCAAGCGCTGTTCCAGATCACAAAGTTTAGCAGGACTCGGTGGAAGAAAAATAAACATACGAACAAACGATGGCCATAACCTGTATCGGTGCTAATGACAGCAGCTGAGACAAACCGATTCAGGGATCCCAGAGGACGCAGCGAGCAAGCACCCCGGGGCTGACCGAGTGAGTAAACGCACGAACCTACCCAGGAACTCCGCGCGGCGTCAGCTAGGGCTCGACCGGCGGGCCCCGCGAGGCGGGAGCTGCAGGCAGCGCGGAGGCCGGGCTGCTGGCGTTGGCCGCGGCGTCACACGCCCTCGGTCAGCGCGCGTGCACAGAGCACCCACTGTGAGCCAGGCGCGGCGCCAGGGTGACCACGGACAGGGTCCCCAGGGTAGGGTCTCAGCGTTACCCCAGCAGCCTATAAGAGGAGAAGGGGGGGCTCCCCGACGTCAATGCCAAGCAGAATGACACTTCAAAGTCAAAGGCTGACCCCGCAACCCGCAGGCAATCCACCACCGCGGGGTTTGGGGAGGGGGCGGGTCAGCCCTCCAGGAAGCCTCAGCCAGAATCCGGGGGACCCCGCACCCCTCTAGCTCCACCCCCAAGCCCAGCGGCGAAGCGGAACTCACGGGGGGCGCAGATGCTTTCACCGCGGGGAAAGCCCGGCCCCGGCTGAGGTCCAACTTGTAGCAAACCCCCTTACCCTGACTCTACTCCGCTCGCTCCTTCCTAGTCACAACCGAACTCGGAGCCCTGGGGTGACTGAGGAGCAGCTGCCTCCTTCAATCGCCCACGAGAGTCCCCCCTGGTAGGCGGGGCCAGCCGGGGTGGGGCGGGACGTGGGAGCGAAAGTCTCCGCCCTGCTCAAGCTTGGTTGAGAAGTCTGCCCGCAGTTGCAAAAGCAGGACTGTTTCAAAGCGGGCGCCAAAGGTGGCGGGAAACTCCTCCTGGGCGCCCATTGGTGGATTCGCGAGCCAATTACAAGAGAGTTGACTCTGGAAGGGCGGGTTTAACTGTTGCCTAGAGACGCACAAGCGCCCGGCCTCCTGCCTTGGGCTCGGATAACTGGTCCCCGGGCGTCCCTCGCCCCTCCCCCCTGGCCCCTCCCCTCACCTGGGTGCGGTGACTCATGCCCCCGGCGCTTGTCACTCCGAAGCCCAGGGCACAGAATCCAAACCTTCCCCATCAAACCCTTCCCTTGGAATTTGGCCTTCTGATTCTCTAAGGTGCCTGCCTCCCCATCACCTAAAAAGGCTCCGATGCTTCTTACTTTGTCTTCCTGCTTACTAGGCCCCACTTTGTTTGGATTTGTGGTTTTTTAATTACTAATTAGGTGGCATATTTTCTCACATGTTTATTCACTACTTGAATTTCCTCGAGTGTGAATGTTCTTTGTCACTTAGATGTTAACCTGTCCCTTAAGACAGCGCTGCCCAGTTTGCAGTAAAGCCCCTTTCATCGTGTTCCTTCCATGGTTAAAAGGGATCCCGTGAACATCAAGGAGCTAGTAGCAGCAGGTTCACAGATCCTTTAGCCCTTTCCCATATACGCAGTAAAATGGTTGTCCAAGGCTCTTCATAATCTGCCCAGTTTTCCTTTGCTACTGTTACAGAACTCCCCACTTGGGCGTTCTATTCTAGAACTAGATGTAGTTGATTTCTTCTTTGCAATTGGCTACACTTATCTGATTGAGTTTATGTCAAGCTCATCCTGTGCTACATTTTAACATTTAGCAAAATAACATTTAATAAGAACCTTCCAGACCTTGAAACCCTTGTCCTAACACTGACTCAGCATCCCACCCCTGTGATACCTACACTGACCCCTGTAACTCCATCAGCTAGCCTAGTAGGTACTTAATCCATAGCAACAGAGCGAAATCACTGGCTGACCTGCCTATGGTTCGCCAGAGTGCCTTTGTTTTGCTCCAGCTATTTCTTTCACTTCTACGGCCATACCTTACTTCTCCACCTATTCAGTCTTCAAGATAGATGAGCACCCCGGTGTAGCCTTTCATAACTCACACCTCCCTTCCCTGGCAGAAATATTTCCCACCTCTGTACTCACTGTGCATATCTTATTATAGCTCTTATATCTACTATAATTAGGTGTTGTGTGTCTGTTTTACTCAGTCCAAAGTTAATATCTTGTACTTACTTTGTTTCTTGGACATCCCACATGCTTCATGGCCCCTGGTAGGCACTCAAAATGAATTTGTTGAATGAGTAAATGAATGAGCAAGCAAATAATGAAGGTGTTTTTTGTGTGCCAGAAAAAGCAAATAAAGGTATTCAGGTAAAAGGCAGTTGCTGAAACCTGAACCAAGGTATCTGTTAGTGAGAACTAGGCTTAGGGACTTTTATATATCAATGTAATCCATGAGCAAACTGAGCTGAGCGTCCTATACTGAAGGTTAAGATGGAATGCTATGGCAAGAATGCTAAGTGATCCCTGCCCACAAACAACTGTTTCTTAGAGAGACAAAAGCATAAAAGATGTAAGGAAGAAAAGCACATGAGGAGACAGTGTTTACTATCCCTTACACAGTGCTTTAGAATTCAGAAAGTTCTTTCACAGACACTAGCTCATTTGGTCCTCACAGCACAGTCTTGTAAGGGGCGAGGGCAAGAATCAGTATCCCATTTTACATCAGAAGAAACTGACCAAAAAAATTAAATGGCTTGTCCATGGCTGCACAGCTAATGTGAGACAGAATTTGACCCAACTTATCTCCAAATCCAGAGCTTGTCAGTAAATATAAGTAAGACTTAAGCACATAAGTCACAAAAGATGCAAAAATAAAAAATAAAACAGAGCCCCTTGCCTTCCACTCTGAATTTGAGTGGAATTATGGATATATTTTAATCAAGGCAATTTACTTGACTGCCTATATCCTGTTTAATTCCTGGCTTAGGTGCTTAAATACAAAGTATGAGGCAAGACTTCTACCCTTAAGGTATCTAAACCCTTTTTGAAGTGCAAGATGCTTACATAAAAAGACAACACAAACACATAGTTGACTACATGTCATATGAGTAGAATAGGCAATAATTCTGGGGGAAAGTGAACATCTAATGAAGGCTCTATCAGGGAAGGTTCCTAGAGGAAGAGGAAGAGAGTCAACAGGCAGGTCGACTAGCATGAACGATTGCAAATAGGAAGGCCAGACAAGCAAAAGTGAAGGATTCTTATACTTAGAGGTGAGACTGGAGAAGTAGGCAGACAGAAGGTAGCCAACAGAGGAGCTTGAGGCCTGGAGCACTGAGAAAGGCGTTCTGCAGGGGCAAGGTGTGATGCACACGAGGGATGGACATGTCCAGAAATACACACACAGACAGAGGTATTCTGGGGTAATAAAGACAAATGTGGGAGAAGAGAGAAAAACCACCAAAGACAGTGAATGCCGGACAGGAGATTGTTTGTGGAATGCTGGCTTAAAGTTTATCCTGCGTTTTTTAAACAGACACACCTGTGAGCTAGGAGGGACGCCACCTCTCCCAGACTTGTTTACCTTTCAAGTGTAAATGTCGCACTGTTGATGAGATGTCATCCCTCCCATTAAGAAGCGTTTACAAAGGTGGAGTTAAGTTAATCATTTCTCTTTTTTTTTTTCCTACCTTCTCTTTGGTGTCAGAGCCATCAGGTCGATGCAATGCCATCATTAAATAAGCGTTGTCCTCAAAGGAGCACTGAACTTAAAGTAAGGAGATCCAGGTTCCAGTTCCAGCTCTCCTACCTCCTAGCTTTTGTCCACACAATTTCCTTAACCCCTCTGAGCCTCCAAGTCCCTATCCGAAAACAAGAATGCTATCTATTTCCCGGGATTGTGGCAAGGACGAGTTAAGATTGTGAAAAGACCTTTTAAAATGTAGAAATACTACTTCAAGATCAATTATTTATATTCTCTCTCTCCCCGTAGTCACGGCTGATCGGACTGGCGTGCCTGTTGGAGTCCAAGGTAGTCAGGAAAGATCGGGAAGTTATACTTGCCGTAACCCAAATGCTGCAGTGGCCTGAGAGTGGGTGGTAGAGAAATACAAGTGTGAATGTGTGCAGAGGGCAACGGGAGCTAAAGGAATGAGACAAAGGAGACAGCTTTATGAGGACAAGACAGAGATGTGACGTGCTGGAGGTGGAAAAGGAGTGCTTGAAGGAGCCAAGGGAGATCAGACCATTAGTTGTCATATAGTCAGTCAATAATACTTTGGGAGCAGCTACTTTGTGCCATGCACTGTTGCAGAGGGTCAAAATGCCTGCCCTGGTCAAGCTCCTTCTCACAGATCTGCTCCTGCCCACAGCCACTATGGGCTCACCATCATCACCTCCCCGCCCCTGAGACCCGGCCGTACCTGACTGGGTCAACATGAGCATCAGGCCCAAGCTGGGCCAGTCACTTTCCCTTCCCAGGTGACTGAAATGAGACTTCGTGAAACTGAGTCAGGTGGTAACCATACAGAAGACAAGCAGACTTTCATTACATTTGACTGTGTTTTATGGGAAATATGCTATCAAATTTCCTATCTGGGTCATGCATGTGGCAGAGCCTAGATGAAAGAGCACCTGTCACTCAGAGCCGTGGATCTATATGGTTCCTGCGCTTTGTGAAGCCCACACTTGAGCTTTTCCTTGGGTTCTGTGATACCTGGACTTTAAAACATTTTTTGACTTGAGCTGGCTTGGGTCATGTAGGGGTTAAATAGTGTCCCCCAAATTTTCACGTTCACTGAGAACCTCAGAATGTGACCTTACTTGGAAACAGGGTCTTTGCAAATGTAACTAGTTAAGAGGCTATATTGGGTGAGTATGGACCCTAAATCTAATTACGATTATTAGTACCCCTAAAAGAAGAGGAAAGGACACAGAGAGTCACACGGGGAGAAGACAGCCGTGTAAAGACCGAGGCAGAGATTGGAGTTACACCACCATAAGCCAAGGAACACCTTGAAGCTAGAAGAGGCAAGGAAGGATTCTTCAGGACCGTTTTCAGAGGGAGCACGGCCCTTGAAATCATGGTCAACACCTTGATTGCAGACTTCTAGTCTTCAGAACTGTGAAAGAATCAATTTTTCTTGTTTTAAGCCACCTAGTTTGTGTTACTTTGTTGCAGCAGCCCTAGGAAACTAATACAGGCGGGTTTCCATTTCTTGCAAGCAAGATTTTCTGACTAAGATGCATTCATGATAATAGGCTACATTTGAAAAGTCTAGACCAACGACTCTCCCATCGTCCACGGTCCACTGTTGGAACTCAAGGATCTTCCCGATGGGCCCTTAAATGATACAAACAAGCAAGTCATTTTTTTCAGTTCCCATGAAATGAAAAGAAAAACTTGTAATTTTATTGGTTTTTATTTTTACATACAACTAAGGTTTATCTATCAGGAATCTACCAAGTAAAATATTAGGGATTACTGATGTTTAGAATTCATAAATTAATATCAGCGCCTTATTCAAGTTTACAAAGGATGGTTGTTCATTATTTCGATGCCCAATATTGCAAAGCTCCTGTCACATAAGCTTGAAGATAACTGAAGTTCCCCTTTTTTGGAGAAAGATGTTAATAGTGATAAAATAACTTCTTAGAAAAATTTATAAGGCAGAATTTTGGAATATAAAATCACACGAGCGAGATCATATTCTTCCCTTAAAAGTAAGTAAATAAGCAATTCCCAGCGTTCCTTTCCAGTTCTTTATTGTCACTATTACTTTTACCAAGCAAAAGGAGTTGGGGGTAAAGTGTGTGTGGTGTGGTAGGCCTCTCATCCTCCTAACAGTCTTCCACAGAGCAAACATTTGTAATTTTGATGAAGTGCAATATACCAAGTTTTTTCTTTTTCTTTTCTTTTTTTTCACCAGTTTTTTGTTTTTTTAATGGATCATGTCAAGTCTAGCCCTATCTCCTGAAGATTTGCCCCTATGTTTTTCTTTCATGAAAGTTTCATCATTTTACATTTCACATTCGAGCCCATAATGCAGCTGAGCTAATGTTTATGTAAAGTGTGAGGTTCATTCTTTTGCCTGCAGATGTCCGATTGCTCCAGCACCATTTGTTGAGTAACGGCCCCAGCCCCTTTCTTTTGGTCACCAAGACTGGCTGCATCCCTCCACCATAAGCCATAGCTCCAGAACAGCAGCCTTTCCACAGGCCGCTCGCCTGCAGCTGCTGTTCCCTCCCCTCCCCGTCACTGGCCCCACACAGCATCCTCCCCTGTGGTTTCCCTCGCTCTGCCCACATCTTTGTAGAACAGAGTCCCTTTATTAAAATCTCAAATTACCCACTTTAAGCGAGCCATCTGTTTCCTGTCAGAACCCTGACACATCCCACAAATGACAAATTTTCCAAATCCCAAACATCGGACACATACTGTCAATTGTCACAAAGTAATAATCATTTATTTCATTTTGAAAAGTCATTTACAGGTATTTATAGGCAAACGGATTTCCACTTTAAGACAGGTGAAGATAAGAGTGCATCATTAAAATAGCATGCAATCTAACATTTCCTTTGCTGTTTCTTTTGGTTTTAACTGTGTCTGTGGCATTTGCAAGTGCAATATTTGCTCATCCGACTACGATACCATTATAGTCACATACCCATTACCCAGATGTACTGCTCACATCATGTATCCTCTCTGCATCTGTGTGTATCAGAAACTCTTTCTTGCTACCCAGTTAACACCGCTCAGCCAGATTGAGACCACAGCCCTTCCCTGTCTGTCTCTGATGAAGGTGATTAGATCACCCATACGTTTCTATGATCTATACCTCCTGAACCCCTCCCTTTATGAAGACAGATAAGCAAGAACTAAGGTATATGCAAAACTGATGAAAAATACATTATTTCCTAGTTGTATAAAAGGAAACAAAGCTGTCTAAGAAATTAACAGCAGAAGAAATAAGGTAAAATCATGAGCTTTTTCATAAAAATATTAGAGTTCAGTATGCTTGATTTCTCATTATTTCTATCCAAAAGAAGTTTCCCATATTTAATTTAAAACTTAGCAAATATATCACAATTACAAACTTTAAGTTGTATCTACATAGCCAACATGAATTGTTAAGACTGTTGTCGAGATAACTCAGAATGAACAAACACCCAGGAGTAATGGCCCCAGCTCTATATGCAAAGGCAAGTAAAGGACTGACACAGTTTTCTGCTACTCAAAACAGCCAAATCCACTTCTACCATATTTACTTAGATTCTTCCCGAGTTTCAATGTTTTTGACCGAAAGGCTTGGGATGTCCACTCTCCGAACGCTGATCTCAGTTGGGTGATTCATTCTGAGTACAGACACAGACTAAAGGAAAATACTGAAGCTCTCACCTTTACTGTACCGACTAGTTATCAACATGGACCCCTAATAAATGGAAATATTGCTTTTTACATACTGTTAGGGCTGAAATGGACCTCTGAATTCACCTAGCCCAGCTCTCTCATTTTATAGACAAGGAAATGGGAGTCCAGACAGGTTGAGCAACTTGCTCCTGGTCACACTGATGACAGCCAGCCCAGTGCTCGTCCCTACACAATGCTTAATTATACCATTAGTCCACCAGGGCTTCTACACGTGGCAAACTTTTCCAGCTGTTTCACTGACTATGTTTTCTCCCTTCTGCATTTTGTCTGATCTTGTCTAGAAAAGGTGCTATGGACACATGTAGGTGAGGGACTATCATGAGTCACAGCCAATCAGGAGGCTATCTCCCCATACTTTCAAATAAATTCAGTATTTTACATAGTAGTGGAACCAATCTGGATATTAAATATAAAGAACACTGGTTTGTTTGCCATCTTTTAAATCCGTGTACTCATGAGCTTTTTGGGCTGCAGGAAGGAGGAAGGGAGAAATACGATGAAATCAGAAATGACTGCTAGCTTTGGCCTCTTCAGCTTGTCATGTGCTGCATACAAACAGTCCAAATAGCAAAAACCGAGAAACACTAGGCCAAACAATCTGGACCCCAATCCTTTAACCGGCAAATGGAACAGGCCAATGAAACAGACTTATGCTTTTGGTGGCTTCTGATTTGATTTTACTGCCATACACAGTCCAAATTCAGTGTCAAATTTGTTTTAACATTGCAGTGAAAGTGCTTCCAAACAGAAAAATACAATAAAGTCAATATCCAACCAGCAAACTGCTTCTTATTTTTGTAATAAGGAAAAACATTTATATATACTTTTTTGGCAAATGGTTCTGTAGTTATGGAATATGAAGACACTGAGAACTAAGCTCCCCGATATGAAAATGTCCCCAGATGGCCCAGGTGAAAGGCACACCCACTGCCCCAGCAGTTCATGCAGGTTGTCTTCAGCATGTGATTTTAATTGTGCTTTGAGCTTGTTATCAATGCAATACGGCCTTAAAAAGTGACACCCGTGCATACGTGTAACTTCTTTTCAAATGGACCCATCCTCTTACCCTCTTCTGACTTCCACTTTCTGAAGATCAGCTTTTGTTAGTCCATGGTGGTCTCGGAAAGATGCACTTCATAATTTGGATTCTGTTTTACCTAGAAACTAAGTTTTAGTTATCCTTGTGTCCCAACACAAAAAGGAGTTTCTTGAATTGTCAGTACGATGGTTATTTCCAAATGATCATTTGTTTAAATGCAAAAGTCCTGGAATATTATCTCTTCTCACCGGTTGTTTAAGGCTGACTTCGCTTCCAGAAGAGATGATTGGCAAACTGTTATCCATGTGGTACCTGATAAGGTGGCCGACGTTATCAAATATGTGGTCCTTGGTCCTCACCTTGAAAAAGAAGAACAGAAGTATTTAGGTTAAATGATAATAGTTCTCCTGACAGATGTCAACAATCTGGGGAGGGAAAGAACAAACATATCCCCGAAGGAGATATTCTGCTTAATAAAAAGAAGAAAAGGTATGTTTTAGCACTGTATCCCTTAGTAAACAATTTTTCATTCCCCAATCCCTTTTTAAAGCAACTGTCCCTTCTGGTTAGGAAAATGGTGAGCACTTGTCACTCAATCCAAATTTTCAATCAACTTCTTTGCCATATTACTGTTTCATATATTATGTCATGTCACCATTCCTATAAATGTTTTTCAAATTTTAAAAAATATTTTTTATTGATTTTTTAGAGAGAGAAGACAGGAGAGGGAGAAAGAGAGAGAAACACTGATTTGTTGTTCCACTTAGTTATATTCATTGGTTGATTCTTGTACGTGCCCTGACTGGGGATCGGACCTGCAACCCTGGCCTATCAGGACTACAATTTAACCAACTGAGCTACATGGCCAGGGCCTAATGCACTGTTGAACTGGGTTTGCTAGTGTTTTGTTGAGGATTTTTGCATCTATGGCTGTTCAAGAGTATGTTATTTAATTTCTACATATTTGTAAATATTGCAATTTTCCTTCTGCCGTTAATTTCTAGTTTCATCCCACTGTGATTGCAAAAGATACTTGGTAGGATTTCAATCTTCTTAAATGTATTAATACTTGTTTTGTGACCTAACATATAATCTATCCTAGGATTTGTGACCTAACATGTTAATGTTCCGAGTGTGCTAGACAAGAACGTGTATTCGGCTGCGGTTGGGCCGAGTGTTCTGTGTATGCCCATTAGGCTCATTTGATCTGCAGTGTTGTTCAAGTCCTCTGTCTCCTGGTCAGTCTTCTGTGTGGATGTTCTATCCATTATTGACATCCCCGAGTAGTATTGCTTTGCTGTCTATTTCTCCCTACAGTTCTGTCAATGCTTGTGTCATATATTTGGGTGCTCTGATGTTAGGTGCATATATATTGACAATTGTTATACCTTTCTAGTGAATTGATCCTTTTATCATCACATAATGTCATTCTTTGTCTCTTTTGCCAGTTTTCACTTAAAGTCTACTTTGTCTAATATAAATATGGCCACCCATACTCTCTTTTGGTTATCATTTGCATGGAATATCTTTACCTATCTTTTCACTTTCAACCTACGTGTGTCCTTAAATCTAACGTGAGCCCCTTATAGAAATCATATAGTTAGATCTTCTTCGTTATCCATTCAACTGTTCTACATCTTTTGATTGGAGACTTGAAACCATTTACAGTTAGAGTAATTACTGATAAGGACTTACTATTACCATTTTGTTGGTTTTAGTCCAGGATCATTTCTGTCTTCAAACATCTTTTATTGGCTTAATACCATTCTACTGCTCTGTATGCTCCTGTGGCTCCTTCCCTGCACTCCAAATGGCCACCCCTTTTAAGACTTTGCTTTCTTCAAGGCTCACCTTACATGTCAGGCCCTGCAAGAAGCCTTTCTCTGTGTCTCATCCAGCGCACTCCTCTATCCTGAGAAGCACCATAATGCTTTGATTGAACCATTCTTATGTCATTTATCCTTATAATTATTTAAGCACCTATTTTATGAAATTATAAGCACCCTGAGAGCAAGGACTAAGTATGTGATACTGAGCAATAGTCAACTGTGAATCTCTGTACTTCCATGTATTCATTTAATTCACTGAACTGAATTGAGAGGGGGCAGAAAGAGGTTGCCCTCTACTTGATCCTATAGGGTGGCCCCTACTCAAACCCCTCCACTAGCCTCTATTTAGAACTTTCTGCTCCAGCTAGAGGGTTCAAGGAAAAGTGAACCCTTAGCCATAAACACTCTTCAACAATATCAGGTCTGGGAACTATCATTCAGAGCAACCTTAATCACAACATCCTGTAAAGACGATAATGAGAAGTCAGTAATACCTTGCCTTCAGGATCCACCAGGAGAAGATGTTTGGCCTGGCCTCCCTGGAGCCCACTCAGCACATACTGGCCAGGAGATGTTGCACTCTCGCGAACCAAAAAGTCGCCATCCTTCACTAAGAGGCTCTCTGCCGCCTTCCTGCTCAGCTTGCCATGGTAGCAGTCTTCATGCCGCAGCTGCTGCTGAATGTGTGGCAAAGAATGTGAGCTGGCAGTCTGGGCGGTGGCACCTGGCTGGACGGTTTCTGGTGCTTCTGAAGTCAAAATACAAAAAAGAGACACCACCAAGTTACCTACTCATCCACCCATTTATTCAATCATTCATTCGCTAAACAAATATAACTTGATGCCCTACACTATGTGCCGGGCGCTATTTAAATAATGCTGTTTCTGGAACAAATGGGGCTTTTGTTTTCAGAACTTCCAACAGGCTCTAGTTTAACAGTGGATCCAAACATTACCTTTGGCTTCTGTGACCAGCAAAGGCTTGCCCAGGTGCAGGAGTGTTTCTTTCATATGAGAAATGGAGCCCAGCCATGTGGCTCTGTGGTTGAGCATCGACCCACCAACCAAGAGGTCACGGTTCGATTCCAGGTCAGGGCACATGCCTGGATTGTGGGTTCAATCCCCAGTAGGAGGCGTGCAGGAGGCAGCCTATCTAAGTTGATGTTTCTCTCTCATCGATGTTTCTCTCTCTCTATCCCTCTCCCTTCCTCTCTCTGTTTTTAAATTAAAAACACATTTAAAAACAAACAAAAAAACAGATGAGAAATGGGTCTGACTCACAAGAACTGCTTTTACAACTGCGGAAGACGCTCTTTATGTCCCTGGGGCTGTCTGTTGAAGAGAAAGAGGCTTATGCTGTATCCGGATTACAGATAACCTCTAAGACTTTCCCAAAGTCTTTGAAAATGTCTACAGTGACTTTGGGTGATGCCAATTTTTTATCATTTAGCATTAAAAAAACAAACAAACAAAAAAAACACCCAGGACAAATTATCAATGTGCTTCAGAGATCCTTCTAACCAAAGAAATCACAGTCCCTCCTGGCCTCTGGCTGTTTGGCCTCTAAAGCAAACTCCAACCTCTTGAGCCCACACCAACAGGAAATAGGCTGCAAAAGTTGTGAAGCCCTCAAGAAAGGCACATTCTCCAACATCCACTTTTAATGTACACATGGAAGATAATGGCAGGAACATCCCAGAAGGCACAGCTCCAGCCCATGGATAACAACAGACAAGGAGGTCCTGTCCTAAAGCCTAACCAGAGTCCAAGCAAATCATCTTCTCCTGCCTCCAGCTCCGGGAGCCTGCACTGTCACTGCCCAGCAAGGACTTGGTAATCACTAGAGCCAGCGACCGCTGGGCATTTCCGCGCTTCCCTTCTGTAAATGTGAGTTTGTATTATGGTCATCTGATTCCAATTCCACCAGCAATTCTGGCTGTGGAGGAGGGCAGGCAGCTTGGCAAATCATAAGGATCCCCACCCAGACTTGATGGAGGGGACTCACATCACCCAGATGTCACAGACTTTTAAGCTGGATGCTGTATTTGGATGGGGTATTTGCAATGTCTTCCTTTGGGAGAGGGCTAATACGCCCTATGAGAAGAGAAGAGCTCATGGATATTGGGGTGGCAGGAAGGTAGCAGAGACAGTTGTTCACCACTATCTATTCTCCCTTTCATTACATGATAGTTCTCGCTGGCTCATGGCCACCCAGCTAGAGTAATGTTTTCAGCCCCGTGGGAGCTAGGTATAGCCCCATGACTAAGTTCCACGAATAGCAGGCGGGAGGAAATGATAGCTGCACACCTGAGTCATGTCCTTTAAAAGGATGTGTGTGCACTCCTTTCACCTTTCTCTCCTCCCACTGGTTGAATACAGATGTGATGATGGTGACAGCCAAGCAGCCACCTTGGACCAGAGACTGAAGCCCAGTGTCAAGGACTGACAAAGGTCCTACCAGACCTGAACCACCAATTTTGGGGTTATTAGAAATGAGCTTCAGTCCTTTTCACACTATGGTATTTCTTTGTTATGGCAGCTTAGACTGAAACTAATATAAAGGGGTACAAAAATTAGCATCAGTAGTGATGATTCCTCTGCCATGTTTGAGAAGAGTAAACATTATACCAGAGTTTTCCTGGCAGTGCACCCAGATGAACTGAGGAGCCCCGAAGTCACGCTTGAGAGATATTAGGTCCTTGTCTCATTTTACGGAACTAATCAGTGAGCTTTTGTCTGGATAAAGGAGGCTAAGAATGCCTAAAGAAGCTAGAAAGAAATAGGAGGAAACATTAGAGGAGAAAGGTTAAAAGGTCATTTACGATACTTAACAGAAAAGTATGTACAAAGCTGTCCCTACTCCATCTCCACTAAATTTTCTTAAGTCAACATTACTTATACTTTTGGAGTTGGATTTAAATTTTTGGAGGAAGTAATGATAGGCTGAAGTTAACCTTGAGGGGGTAGCAAGAAGCCCAGGAAGGCCACGGTACATTAAACCCTAATAGGAAATAAAGAGTGAGAGATACTAGAGGCCTAAATTATTAAACTTGCTGCCACCAAGGCAGGGGGAGGGAAAATGATGAAAAAAGAAGGCTGGAGTCAATGAAAAAACATTTTGATATTACTATTTTGGATATAGCAGGACTGACTTACTTTGCACCAATGGCAGGAATGATGGACTAATTTTGCCTTTTCACATTATTAAATTGTTTATGACAAAAGGCAAAGTTTCTTTGCTTAAGTTGGGAACATTTTTAAAAATACGTATGCTTTTATTGATTTTTAGAGAGAGAGGAAGGGAAAGGGGGAGAGAGAGAAATATCGGTGTGAGAGAGAAACACCTATCATCTGGGCCCACAACCTGGGCATATGTCCTGACCAGGAATCAAACCAGTAGCCTTTTGGTGCAGGGAACAATGCCCAACCAATTGAACCACAAGGGCCAGGTCTGAGTTATGAACATTTTTAACATTAAAGACTTGATTATAAAGGAATTGCAGCTGAGAATCAAGGAATAGATCAGATCACCTGACTTGGGCCGTATTTCTAATAATATGTTGTTGCTCTGAACAGTCCATGACAGGAAGCTATCAAGTGTATGGTCCTATAAAATTACTTTTTTTTTTTTTAATATATCTTTATTGATTTCAGAGAGAGGAAAGGAGAGGGAGAGAGATACAAACATCAATGATCAGAAAGTCATTGATCGAGCCCACAACCCAGGCATGTGACCAGGAATCGAACCCCAATCACCTGGATCCTAGGTTGATGCTCAACTGCTGAGCCATGCCTGGCTGGGCTATAAAATTACTTAAACCTGAGGCCCACAAACCTTTTTTTCAAAAGCTGTCCCTCTAACAAATACTATTCTATCCACACAGGACACTCTCCTAGTTAAGCTCACTGCAGGAATCTGCATTCATTGCATATCTCATTGTCCATGACCCAGATTCCCCTTCAGGGAAGGACCCAGAGCCCCAGGTATCAGCAGCCAGCCTCCAGCCAACCATCCCCTCAGGGTCTGCCTTAGCTGCAAAGAGCAGCCCTACCTTTGGGCAAGACCTCGTGTGGCCCACCTCCAAAGACTGAGATAAGTGAGCCCAATGTGGGCAACTCTGACAGGCCCACGTGCTCTCTGCAGGGTTGGCGAGGCTTTTTCAGGCCCTCATGGTAGCGCCATCTCTCCCCCTGCCCAAGCATGCTCCCTGCCCGTCCCTTGCTGAGAACTGATCCCAATATAGACCCTGCATGACAAGCCCCACCTCAGCATCTGCTTCCAGAGAACCCAACAGGGATGTTTGGGAGCTGAGAGTGATCTTGGAAAGCTTGCAAGAAGATGGCCCATTTGCTAGATGGCTGGCAATGAGGACCTCTGTCTTTTAGCCTAGAGAGCTAAGGTGATCTGGTTAAGCCAAGGCTCAGCAAAATCTCCTTGTAAATTCCATCATGCCACCTGGCCATGCAAGCTATAAAGTTGCCCTTGGCCGTTCCCAAAAGGCTTCCCGGGCCAGTGAGAGGACGCATTCAGAGATGGGTTCTACACCCTTGGAATGAACCAAATTTGACACCAAGCCACTCTCTGAACCTAACAAGCTTCAATATTTTATGAAAAGTATGTCTTATTTATTTTTCAGTTGATTGTAGGCTTTTGGCTTGTCTTTGCTTTTATTTATTTGTATTCCTGTTTCTGCATTTATCCCAGGAGGCAATTGGCAAGAAAGTGATGCCTTTTAAGATTAAGTAAAATCTTACTGTTTTTACTCACAGTCCATATGGTTTAAAAGGAGCCATCCTTATTTTAGTGCTCTATAGATGACTTACCAAGGGGCTGTGAAATGAATAAAACTAACTCCATCAGGAGACAGAATGGAAATCATGGCCATTGTTCCTCATGCAAACAAATTCAAAATTATCCCCTGGCTTCAACCGTCCTTCCTTCAGCAAAAGCACACAGTAGAAATAAAAACTGGGAGTGAATTTAAAGTATTTGAAAAGATTATTCAAAATCAAAGTCCCAAAACCTTGAAATCCATTAATATCTTGATGAAGTTCAGTGAATATCTGTTATTAACCGTTACTGTGGTGAAGGAATCCTTTTAGCTCCCTGAAAATGAGGCCATGGAAACAGCCTTCTTTCAAATGAGGGACAGTTGCCCTGGCCGGTGTTGCTCAGTGGTTAGAGGGTCAAAGGGTTGCAGGTTGGAGTGCATGCGGGAGGCAACCAATCGATGCGTCTCTCTCACATCTCTCTCTCTCCCCCCCACCCCTCCCTCCCACTCTCTCTAAAAATCAATGGAAAAATATCCTCGAGTGAAGATTAACAAACAAAAATAATAATAAAAATGAGAGACAGAGACAGTGTAGTGAGTTGAACAGTAACCCCAAAAGTATAGGTTCAAGTCCTAACCCCCCCCATACCTATGAATGTGACCTAATTTGGGAAAAGGGTCTTTGCAGGTGTCATTAATGATCTTGAGATGAGATCTTCCTGGATTTAGGTGGGCCCCAGATTCAGGGGCTATTGCTATAAGAGAGAGAACAGGGAAATCTGAGACACAGGGGTGAAGGCCATGTGAAGATAGGTGGAGGTTGGAGTGATGTGTCTACAAGCCAAGGAACTAGAAAAAGCATGGTATAGATTTTTCTCCAGGGCTTTCAGAAGGAGCCAACCCAGCTAACATCTCGATTTAGGATTTCTAGCCTCCAGAACTGTGAAATAATACATTTCTGTGGTTGGAAGATACCAGGTTTGTGGTAATTTGTCACAGCACCCACAGGAAATCAATAGAGATAGAAAGTAGCTCCTTACTCTCACGGTGCCACGGGCTCCCCGGCGGCTGAGCTGGGCTTTGGTTTCGGGCAGGGCCGAGTGCACTGTGAAGAGCCTGCGTGTTGATGTAGCAGGGATCGTCGAACAGGTCCACCCGGCAGGTGGGCTTCAATAAGGAGGCGTCGCTCTGGGACTGCACGGCTCTCTCGTGGGCGTTACCTGGAGTGATTAGTCGTGATCAGTGTATCATGCTCTGCTTTGTAAACAAATTAAAATCACATTGAGTCTAGAATTGACAGGAAGCAAAAGGCCACCCCTATCCTCTACAAGGATTGAATACTGACTTAGATTTGACCTGTACAAATAAGATAAACTCCGGTCTTCGAGGAAAAGCTCCCTCTCGTCGGTCTCCCTGCCCCACTATTGCAAACAGACAGGAAAAGGAGCCGGAAGATCCCAAGAACAGCCAAGAGGAAAAGGGCCGACTGTCCAGCGGAGAGCACAAACCCACCTACAATGCTGCCCGGAGTTGCAGGCCAGGCACCAGGAAAACACACACGCCACGTGGAACTCAAATTCCCGAGGCCCTACTCCCGGCCGCCGGCTTCCCTGTAACCTCTCTCCTCCCAGTTTCTGCGCCGGCTCACGCTGGCCTTCTCGTGGTATGGCCTCCACCTCAAGGCCATCTTCTCTAATTGACATGCTCTTCTCTCCTTCCTCATCTTCATCCTGCAGGCGTCAGTTTAACGCCCACTTTCTCAAGAGAGCCCTCTCTGACCTTCTCAGACTAGCTAAGTCTCTGCCTTCCTAGCAGTTTTTACTTTACCTTTAAGCCCGTATCACAAGAGTAATATGTTCTGTTGCTTATGTTATTATTTTTTAATGTGTGTACAATGTCTAGACTGCATGTTCCATGAGGAAAGGGATCCTGTCTGTCTTGTTCATGCTGACTAGGAGCTGCAACTCCTGCTCCTAGCACGAGCCTGGCACGTACAATGACATCAACAGTTATTGAATGAATGGCTATTAGCACCGTAGTTCACTACCTGATGGCAGGTAAAGTACTTTGTGCCATCCAGATGGTCCAGCCTTGAGAATGCCAGGATAGGATGTTTTTGCTTTTCCGTTGAAACTAGTACATTTATAGTTTTGGCCACGTGTGCAATGAGTCCTCCAGGAGGCTGCACGTGAAGGAGTGGCACTGACATTCCATCGTCTCGCCGTAAAGCAACATCAGTCCTTCTACTGTTTGTCATTAAACCCCTTTTATGTGGTCCAAAAGGGACCAATTTCATATTGGATTTCACATCATGGTGAATAGCGCTATGATTCTTGTAATGCATAGTATGGAAACCTAAGAGTACACCGAATAGGGGAAGCCCATCGGAAGACAACAGCTCTTACTACCCGCTTACACCTGTTTGTCAGCACCACATGCCACTTTGTGCCATGTCATACTCTGTACATGGGATACCTTGAGGGAGGAGTGGGATTTCTACAGAGGGAGGGTTGACAAGGCATCTCATTTGTTTGCAGCATTTTGCAACACATGACAGTTTCCATTTGCTGGGTTAAGTGGATTTATGAAGTGTATTATCCAGTGTAAAGTAAACTTACTTTCACAAATGGGTAAGTGGCTAAAAGATCACTGCAAAGAAACCAAGGATTGAAGATTACTCTTCTTAGTACAATCTCCTCCTTAGCTGCATTAGAGTTTATAAATAAGAGTAATCTATTAGATCCAAAGTTTGACCGACCAGAAGTTAAAATTATCAAGATGTGAAATGTAGACTTAAGTCCATTTTATTTATCAATAAATGCTTTACATGTGTATCAGCCTTGAGATATTCCCTAATGACAGTATTCAGCCAATGTAATTAGTAAGATTTTTTAAAAAAATGTTTATTTATCTAACTTTGAAATTTCCTATTTTTGTGTGTTTTATGATACATGCATAATCATAAGCATATGTGTCCATAACTTATGCATGATTGGATACCATTTATTTAGGACTGCCTGCTCATAAACTTACTGAAAGTGGAGTGTGATCAAAAGGGTTTGCAAGCGCTGCACTTCGGAATTAACAGGGACCTGACTTCAGGTCGCTCACTATTTGTGTGGCCTGAGCCATGCCACTTAACCCCTCCAAGTGTCAGCTTTCGTGTATGTAAAATGGGGGTGCCTGGCTTAAAATACGGTCGTGAGGATTAAAGGAAAGAATGTGGCTGAGGACTCCCTGAGCATAGCGCCTGCCGTAGAGCAGGCATTCCACACACAGCTCCTATCAGGGCTCAGCTGTGTACTCACTCACCGACGCAGGGCCTCTGCACACGGTGCTTAGCTCTGCTTGTAATACCTGCCCCCTTCCCTTCTTTACCTAACTTCTATTTATCCTTAAGATTCGGCTCTGAACCCACCTCCTTCAGGAAGCCTTCCCCTCAGCTCTTCCCTCGCCAGCCAGGCAAGGTGCCACCCTCTGATACACTGAAGGTATCTGTTTACTTGTCCGTCTTCCCCTTAGACTACAAATCCCCCGAGTCCCTGAGAGACTAGAATCCACTTATCTGTGCATCTTCTGCATCTTCCATGCCTGGCAGAAAGCAGATGCTCAAAAGAGCATCTTTTGATCAGCTGTTTGTCAGCTGGGTGAACAGATGACTGAGTGTCCGTCCGCCCGGTCTGCCCCCACCGTGTCCTAAAGACCCGGAGCCTGCTTTCAGCACAGGGCGCCGACTCATCTGCCGCTCTCGGAGCGCTGACACCAGCGGCCCACACCACGTCTGCCGCCGCACAGGACTGCTCAACAGCGCCAACGTCCGTACCCGGTCTTTCCTGAAAACTACCAGTCCTTTTTTTCAAACGTGCCATTATATTTAAGTCAGCAGTGTTGTCTTAAATGAGGGAAAAACCCTATCTCACCCTGTACCCGACTGTAAAGCCTTTCTAGGATGAAGTGTGTGGCTGATGAGAGCTTTCGCACACCCGCCAGCCACCGTGCGTTCCAAAGCCCCCTGTGCCGAGTGGGATTCTGAGAACTGTCCCGCCGGCCGAAGAGGGGATTCCTGGCAGAAAAGAAATACACGCACAGTGGGCACGCTGTGAGTACCAACGTTTGTAAGAGCAGGCCCCTAGGGCTTGTGGGCATTTAACGTCTTTTTGATTAAAAATATCAACATTTCCATTTTAACTTGAAGGCTGGGGAAACATTATTCTATTTTGCTAATTATTTCTTTCCATAAGGGAATTTATATTAAGAATAGGGATATTTTATACACCTGGCAATAAATACAATTAACTCCTTCAACAACCAGAAGCCTATTGCAGTATTTATAATACACTGGAATTCAAGTTTTAAGTCAATATTTGAATAAATCGATGAACTGGGAGGAGAAAGCCAAACCTTATTGAAAATATTTGTATAGGTGTCCCTCAAATGCTTATGTATGAATCTCTGGGAAAAGCCATAAAAAATGTCTATTTGCTGTTCTGGCAACTGCTATTAATTTGCTCACTGGTCAAGAATTTCGGATCACTTTTTAAACATATGCCCAAGGAGTCACAGGCAGGCCCCACAATAGGAACATCTGCCTTCTGGATGAAAGGACACGGAGTCAGGGACGTCCTTCCTGCCACAGTGGGAGGAACCATACTTGTCATGGCCCCTGGAGCAGGGCTGAGTCTTTCTGTCCTCCCATGGTCCCAGTGGCTGAGGTCTGGGGAGATGGCTTCCTAGTCTCTGGTTCCCACTAGAAGTAAGGAAACTGCTTTTCTAAAGAAACAATGTTGTAGCTCAGAGCTTGATCCACAGGACAATAAACAGTCATTGAGTACATTGTTGAATAAATGAAGAACATAAAATGACATAAAGACAGGGCATGGAGACAATTCCAAGTGAGCTGCAGCACAGGAAGAAAATTGTTAAGTGTCACAGGGCTTTTGTGGTGTGTTTCTGACTATTAGCTCCTTAGGTTAGGGATTTCCAGAGTAAGGGAAAGGAGGGTGGGTAGGAACTATAGCTCCCAGGGAGCATAGTTTTAAAAATACATTTACATTCACCATTAACTTGTTTTAGTCATATTATTAAGGATTAGTTTAAAATTTTAAAGAACTTTAAAAAATGGCATGAAATTTTAAATTCTATCAAAAGAAGCCATGTTTTTGAAGAATTTTAAGTACTGCATTAGCTCACTACTCGTATTATTTTTGCAGGTTGGAGGAAGGTGGCAATCATAGCTGTACCAAAAACAATAAATGCTCATGTTCCCCCACTGTAAAAAATAATGAAGTTAATAAATGACATTGGCATAATTCCATAAGAAATACCAAAGTATCCCTGGGAGTGACCACCATCTATCTACAGGACAAGTTCCTGCTAATTTACCTAGCGTCCCTAAGTGTGGTCATCCAACTCTACCCTCCTCTGTATTACTTACACTGTCCAGTTATCACACCTATAAAGCTGCAAAACTTCCCTTCCCAAATAAATAAATAAATAAATAAATACCTTCAACGATTTATAAGAATGAAATGACTACCTGGCAGTAGACCTTGGTTTTATGAAAATACACTTCCAATCTGATGGTTGATGCCCTACACTTGTGTTGTGGGAAAGCTTTGCCCAGTGCCAATGATCAGGGTCATAATAAGATATTTAATGCCCTGGCAAGTCTAGGGTAGGTGGGACCATAATGAAGACTCTCACATTTCAGATTTCCTTTTGTTCCCTTGGCCAAGCAGAAAGAAAGGTTTTATTTTAATCCTGATGGATTTGACAAGCATTCATTTTCACATTCACCTACTGTCTGATCTTTGGAGTGGGAGTCCCTGGGGTTGGGAGCAGAGAAAGCCCCTTTCCCGTGAGAGTGTTCATGTCAGAGCAGTGAAAGGCCCACGAGGTAAGGCCACAGTGTGTGCGGTAGAGGGAGAAGCAAGAGCCTTCCGAGGGACACACGTGGCACTCAGGTCTCTCAGAATGTGGGGAGCCTGCAACTGAAGTGGTGTGGTCAGTGACAGACACCTGCCTGCCTTTCCCATGAAGTGTTAAAGCAAGGTCCACACATGGCCACATGACTTACAAGGGGTAAGGAGAGTGGCAGATGGGGAGGGGCGACTGTACCTACCGATTGCCCTGCTTTGCTCCAAACAGTTCTCATAGACACTGCTGCACTTGGAGTTTCCAGGCTGCACGAATGACAAATCGTGAGACATTTACAAACATAGTATATGTTCCAAAACTTTCAAAAAATGCTAATAATACTCCAGCAGAATACAGCAGACAGCTTCACTTTCTGATACAGGACATGTCTGGCGAGTAAGAAAAGGAACCTGAGGTCTGGGATGGGGAGTGTAGACTCCTCTCGCTCATGTGTTGTTTTGGAGCTGCAGAGATGGGGTGAGGGTTGTGGAGGCTGCCACTGTCAGGAGCACACCCTGAGGGACACTGCTCCTGCTTCTGCTTCTGCTTGGGAGGTCACATTCCAGGACTCCATCCAAGTCTCAGCAAGGTGTGGTTTCCAGGACACTTGTATAAACACCGGCCAGTTGGCAAACCTCTATCTTGCCATGAATGGCAGACTGCAGCCCTGCTCTGCTGAGGTTGGTGCCAGGCTCACTTTCATACTTAAACGTCTCCTGCTCTCCTCAGTAATGGAATGGGATCCACGGATGCCTTTGAGGAGGGGTGTCTATGCTTTAGAAAGACTATTCTGTAGTTTTATGCGGGAGCGTTTGGGGGAATGAAGTTAAAGACAAGGAAGGTGCTTTCAGAACCATGTGTACAAATGAGGACCAAACTTAGAAAGATGCAACAGGAATGGAAAAGGTTGGGTGTATTCAAAAGATATTTTTGTGGTAGAATCCTAGGTCTCGAAAACTAAGTTGATATGGGGCTCAAAGTGTGAGAAAAATAAAAGACTGTAGATTACTGAAAGAGTAGCAATGCCATTCTTTTTGTTGTTGTTGTTAATTCTCACCTGAGGATAGAGTGGAAGGAGGGGGGAGGGGAAGAGAGAGGGAGAGGAGAGAGAGAGAGAGAGAGAGAGAGAGAAAGAAAGATTGATGTCAGAGAGACACATTGATTGGGATCAGACCTGCAACCCAGGTACATGCCCTTGACCAAGAATTGAACCTGTGACCCTCTGGTATATGGGCTGATGCTCTAACCACTGAGATACATGGGCACAGCAGCAAAACCATTCTTGAATAAATCAGTAGAGGAATCTGGCTTGGCATCCAGAAGAAAATGCTCAGTTCAATCTTGATATGAACAAGCAACGTAATGTTTGTGGCATCACAGCTGCAGAGAGAGGGAATAGCTGAAAACAGAGAAGCTGCAGGAGTGTATACATAGGTGTCAGGCTGCAGGAGAAAGCTGGCCGAGGGCAGTGCATTGGAGAGTGGCTTCACGGTGGTCAGGCAGAGGCTCGGGTTCCCAGGGGAGGGGATGCAAGAACGCAAGACAGAAAAAGAAAAGATGCAACTTACTTTGAACCCACATCAAAAATAGGATGGATGGATGGATGGATGGATGGATGGATGGATGGATGGATGGATGGGCGGATGGCTACAAAGGATGACAGAGCAAATATAGTAAAATGTAAATTGTAGAATCTAGATGGTGAGTATATGAGTGTTCGCTGTATAATTTTTTCAACTTTTCTGTATGTTTGAAAATATTCATAATAAAACTTGGAAATCACGATGAAAGAAAAATAGCAACCAGAGATGCAGGATCAGTATCACACAATGGAAATGTTTTAGAAGCTAACAGAAGAGGCAGCCAACAGGTATCAAATGCTGGAGACAAATTCAGAATACCGAAGGCGGAACAGATTTAGCAATTAAACCACTGGTGACCAAAAAATAACTGGTGACCCCTGTAAAAGTAATTCCTATCAAGGTGTCAAGTGGAGCTCAGATCTTAGAAGTGTAGTATAATGGGAACATGGAGGTAAAGACAGTTTTTCTCTAGAAGTTTGTGAGTAAAAGAAAGAGGAGGAGGCGGGATATTATTAGCTGGGTTGGGAGAGTGTCCAAGTTTACGTGCAGGCCGAAGGGAAAGAACCGGGAGGCAGAGAGAGAATAAAGATTGAGACAGAGGGTGATGGGCAGAACAAGGGCACAGGGTTGGCAGGAAGGGGTGGGATTGGGAGCTCAGAGGAGAGACTAGGTGTGGAGACAGTAACTAAGGAAGAGAAACAAGGAGGACTCTGAGGCAGGGAAGGGTGAAGTGGAGGGTAACATGTTGGACTGCCCTGGGGTTCCCAGGGAAGTGAGATGTGAGGTCAGTTGCTGAGGCTGAGGCTGGGGAATTAGGAGTAAAAGTTATCTACTCCAGTCTCTGTCAGTGATTCACTCTCTGGCTCTGTCCTGAGGAAGATGATACTTTCTCTAAATTAGCATTTGGAAACCCTCAAATTCAGCTCTCTAGCGATAAGAACAGGATCACATTGCTAGTTCTGATCGTAATAAAATGTTACTTACCAAATAGCACAACTTTTCACAGCGTATGGGGCAGTAAGCCATTTGTTCTGTGACTTGAACTCTGACCCGCACATCTGAAACACCACCCACAGGTGGCTGCTTTCCTGGTATCTCATTGTAATACTCATGATCTTCTCTGTCCTCAGCATGGCCATCAACATGCACCTCCTCACTGTAAGGGAAAAAAGAATCCCCAAGAGGCTGGGCGGGAACTCAAATGCTGTAGGGGATGCAGAGGGATCAGAACCACGTAAATCATCCTGAAAAACGTTGCATTCATGTTGTAAGTTTACAGATGCGCTTAAGCGATGTCAAACATCTGGATGGAAGCAACCACATGCTGAGTTGTTTAGATTTCCGTGGGCAATTAAAGTGGGGCAAGCCAACCAAAATGCCAAGGATGATGCTTTTTGTCCCCCCCCCACCCCAGTAAGTAAAAAATATATACACACACACACACACACATATGTGTGTGTGTGTGTGTAAGTGAACTCCCTGAATGTAAGACATTTCTGTCAATGGGATATAAAAATACAAAGTTTTCCCGGGTATCTCCAGCAACCTTTGTACCATCTCATAAATGCTTTGCTCAAAGAAAATACAGATATTGGACAGAGGACCTGGCCCAGTTTATTAAACCAAGAAGAAAAAAATTAAAAAGCTATTGGCCAACTACCTTGTCTGCACAAGTCTGGAGGAGTAGATGAGATTCATAAAGAAATATTAGAACCATATGTGGCAAGAGGGCAGATTTATGTAAACATGCATTGTTTTTAAAATTGAAATAGGGGAAGAAAACAAATGTACTTTTCTTCCAAATTGGAATTAGTAAAAGTTTCTTATGAAAAAGAGTAAATCAAGTCCTTTTGGATTGAACCAATTCCACTGACAACATGCATGGTTTCTTTGGGTTCATCACATGTCAACAAAAGGGCAGCACTAAGATGTGTGTTATCCTGGGAGAAATCCAACATCTAGGCTTTTTGGTAACCACCTCTCCTTTGTTACCCTCTACCACCTCATAACAGGCAGCTACAAACCCAGTGTTTGTTGATATACCAAATGACAAATTAGAGGGAGAAATGCATTTTAAAAGGCCCAAGAGTTTTGTTTCTCAGGTGTGAGTTCTGCAAGCCAGGGGCCTCACTGCATTCCAGGGACCCAGAAGCCTTTGGCTTTCACTGCAACCTTTTTGTGCCTTAGAACAACCAGATAATGGGTGAGGGTGTTTTAGCTGCCGGAGCTGATCTTTTTGCATTGCAAACCAACAAACTAACAGGAATGCCTGCAACAGACACTTGACTCTTGTTATTTTGCTTTTCATTCTTGATTTTTTTTTTTTTTTTTTTTTAGTGATATGCTAGGGCTTTGGGGTAGAAACAAATCTGAGAAATTTGTTGATGTTTATTAATTTATGATGCTACTTAATTAATTCATAGCTTTGTATAACATCCGAGAAACATGGCTGATCCCTTCTCACTTTTAGTGTCTCCTTTAGTTTTGTTACAAACCAAAGGAAATATCTGGATAAATATGAGTAGAAAAAAAATCTGAAAAACGCTACTATTAGTTTGTACTGAAACTGTGCCCATTTGTAAGAAAAAAAGTGACTAATTTCATTAGTCTATTTTAAAATGCCGTATTAATTTTAAAATTAAACAAAATACAGTAAGTCAAATAATTATAGAACTGCTGGCTGACCTTTCACAAGAAGTACTCAAAGAAGGATTTTTCAAATATTGTTTAAACCGGAGCTCAAAAGCCTGCCCTATGGTACTTATGACATCTTGGGCCATCCCGTTGCGGCATTCCAATATGTGGCAGGCTGCAAAAGGACATACGAAAAAATTATAGCAAATGTTCGGTAAGAGAAGATTATAGAAAGTCAAAATACTTCCAGAATGTGAACCCGTTACTGAAAAGAGGGTGTAGGTTTACAAGCCCTCTTCAGCTCCGAAAGGGCATAACAGTACCTCATATTTCATATTAATCAAACAGAAGAAACACATTCTGTATCTAAAGATCTCAAAACACAAATTTCAGTCTTGGGGCAGGTATTTTGGGCTCACATTTTTATAAATGTAGGACGGTTTTAAGGAATACGCAAGCTCAGGGTTAGCGCTAGAATTCCGTACAGGAAACGCTTAGGATAGCCATCTGCAGGGAAGAGGAGGGTTTCAGTCTCGTCCTTGCACGGGAGGCTGCGGAAGGCTGGAAACAGGGAATTTTCCGAGCCTCCACACCCCTCTCCCCCAAAAGCAGCATGAACTGCTAGCGAAGACAGAGGCTTTGGTATGCCCCTGCTCTCGCCATCCCTTGGCCTATCACTGCTGGCAGTGATGGTACAGTAATACCCGTCTTCGAAACCCTACGTAAGAACTATCTCCAATAAGCAGCAAAATCAAGATTTCGTGAAGGTGACACTACCAGAAATATTACAGTTTTTATTAGATACTTTCTCCAAGAAGCAGTTACTAGGAAGGGCTAGTTTTCGCAAGCAAATTAGAGACCATCACAAACAAATGAGCAAACCTGCTGCCGTATGTAAAACAGGAGCTCGCGTTCAGGGACTAGAAATCCCTCTCCCCACCACCAGGAATATCATCCTTGCCTCGGTTATAGGATGGTGTCATGCTTAGGGCCTTGCAATATGAAGATTGCACTAAATTTGAGGTTTCCTAAGAATGGCTTAGAAAGAGTCCTGGGGATGACTTCAAGACAAAGGTAACGTCTCGTGAGAATTTTTAAAAAATATATATTGGTTTGTATAGCCTGAACAACTGAGGGATGAAGAAAAGCTTGAAAATGGTCAGATATATGCAAGAATGTTGTAAAAACTGTCAGCTATTCTCTGAGAACAGGAAAGGATTGAGTGTGTGAGTGATGGGGAATCAGGTTAGATACTGGGGAAGCATCGTGGGTCTCAGGAGCTGTAAAACCAGCACTGGGACCCATGACTAAAAGGGATACCTGAGGAGAGGAGAGATACCTGACTTTATGGAATGATTTAACTGTGTTGACTTGGAAGCCTGATTTTATGCTTTGAATTGTCTTGGGAAGAATGTTGTATTTATTTAAAGTAAGACACAATTCACTCACATCTGACTGACTTGCACAGCCTATAATAGTAGGTTATGGTAGAACCTACTATGGTGTTTCTTAGCCTAGTGTTGATAATCATGTCACGAAATATCAGATAATTGTCATTTCATATTAGCTTGATATTTACTTAAAGGATTTATGTCTTTGATGCTTTTGGAAGGGATGGGGGGGCAAGATGCTATTACAAACAACGCTAAGGTGTCAAACTTCCAAGAGCTATTGATCATTTCTTATAAAGCTGTCCCTTTATTTAAAAAAATTTTTTTAATATATCTTTATTGATTTCAGAGAGAGGAAAGGAAGGAGAGAGAGATAGAAACATCAATGACGAAAGAGTCATTGAGTGGCTGCCTCCTGCGCGCCCCCAACTGGGCAACCCGGTCAAGTGTCCTGACAGAATCAAACCGTGATCTCCTGGATCCTAGGTCAATGCTCAACCCTTGAGCCATGCCAGCTGGGCTAAAGTTGTCCCTTTAAAGAAGCAACTTGGATCCTGAAGTAGACTAAAAGCTAATTATAGTTTTGAAAACACAACTGAGAATATCTATAAATTTCTATCCTTTCTACCAAAGGAAAATGTTTGATCTACCTTTAGACTGACAGGTTACATGGCCCCTTCTTTTTCTCTACAGTAGCTTCACATAGTGACCAAAGCATAAGTGTTTTAAAAATGTTTTGATTAAATAAATACCAATTTCCCTGCATCACATAAATAATTCTACTGTCAGAAGTTGTCTTCGATTTTATTAAAATAAGACCTACAGTGAGCCCCCATAGTGGGGCAGGTTCTTATAGCACTGAGTGGCACAAATGACTGCATGGGTCTTTGTGGAAATGGTCCCCTCCTTCCTGGTCAAGCCTCATAGCCTTAAACCTACAAAGTACCCTTGGAGATGTAGCCTCTAATTGTGCCAAAAAAAGTTGTCACATTGTGATTTAAAAATATAAAAAGGTAATTCAGTTGAATTCTTTTGTTTTTCATCTCATAAATTCCTGGCCCAATTAAACATGAAGAAAAGACCAGAAATCATCTCAAAATGGCAAAAATTTTTATAATTTTATTTTTTCTTAGGATCAAGGACATGCCTAGAGATAGACACGGGGAAGACAATGAGAAAGGCAGAACATTCAAACATACATGAATGAATGAGTGAACAGAAAAAAGGGAGGGAGGGAGGGAAGAGTGGAGCCTGTCTCCATGAAAGAAACGATACTGACAGAAAGGCTGGCCCTGTGCAGAGGTCTGTGCAGCCTTGGCACCTTGGGGAAACACACATTTTTATAGCGCCACCGCTGCCACTCAGACGCTGCTCTGTAAATGCGGACTTCATTCTTTTTAAAGTTGGTCATGGGCCAGAATAGGGACAGGCTTTAAATCACATACAGATATGCCCGTTTCCCAGGGTTAGACACACCTCCAAAAGATCAGATAAGCGGCCAGTTTGGCCAAGAATTGCCCAATCTTTAGCTAGCGGAAGGAAGAAAGGCAAGTATATAAAAAGTACCAGTTCCCAAAAATGAATTTGACTTTCCAGTGATATAACTTCGCTTGGAGGCTGAGCTTTGCTCTCCACGACTGGCATCAGATGCAGATCTGGGTTCTTTCCATTCTGCCTGGGAGCCAGATAGACCCACAGTTCCACCCTTGGGTATCAGGTACTGTATTAAGTAACATTTAAAATAATCTTAGATTCATTTTCTTTCGTCTTTTACTTTTGGTTTCCTAATGAGATAGTCATGAACAATGAGACTTCATAAAGGATAAGAGGCTTTTCTTTAGTATGTTATATTTGTTTTTAATAGGCAAATTTTTTGGTTTTGTTTCTGTTTGGGGTTTGTTGTTGTTTTTGGTTACTAGAAAACAAGGAATTGAAAACTGCAGCTTCTCACATTAACCACCAGATGGTGCTGTGGGATCGAGGCATGGAGCCCACCACCCCTCAGGGAGAAACCTGCCAGAAGGCGGCGGCCAGTAGTCGGTCCAGCCCTACCTTATGTGAGCAGGACAGCAGTGCATATATTTACAGCCATAAACATAAATCTGAATAAAGGTGTTAATTTAAATTGGTTTTACAGTCTCTCATTTTTAACTTTCTTCAGAGACTCAGAACCATGGCCTTCCTATATCTAGGTAGCCCAGGTAAACCAGGGCCTCTTACCAGACTAGATTCAGAGAAAATATTTAAACCTCCTGGACTGCTACACATTTGAAGTAAGAGGTGAGGATATTTCCTCATTTGTGGCAACTACAGGGGCAGGCTGTATTAGTCACTAAGTAAACTCAAAACATTCTTACTGGAACTTACCTTTTCTACAGAAAAGGCCTTTTATAAAATGAGGAGCTCACTGAAGGGTCCCAGCCAAGACGGAACAAAGTGGCAACTGCCCCGACCCGAATGCACTAGTGCTAAAAGTAGACCAAGCACACAGGAGACAGTGGGGACATTCAGGATTATTAGCATGAAGCCTGGTCTCCTCTGCCTGGCTGCACTTCCTGTCAGCCACGCTCCCATCCCTGAGGTCTGGCTCCTGCCCTTACCAGTCCACTGACATCTGCTTCACAAGGTAACCAATGGCCTCTTGATTGCTGGACTGAATGGCATTTTTCACCTTCATTCCTCTTAATTCCTTTTCAGCATGACACATTCCAAAGTGTCTTCTTCCTTCTTAGGTGCTACTCCTCTCCTGGTTTTCTCCCCTCTCCTGACTACTACTCTGGCTCCCCACTGTCCCTCTGCCTTCTCACCCTGACACCCTCAGCCCTCTTCTTTCTGGGTTCCTTCTTTGGTGACCTCACTCACCCTTAGGGCTAAGAAGCTGTAGTTTTTCCAAACCCCCACATCTCATATTCTCTCTTTCCCCTACCCCCCTCTCTCTCTGCCTGCCTCTGCCCACCACCATCACCCTCACCCCCAGGCTTCTCCTGTTTGCTGCATATTTTCCCCTGGACGAACCAAACTCACTAGGTAATTTTATAACACTTTCTGTTTTCATTATTTTTGTATTTATTCAAAAATTTAGACCACTTTTGTAAATGTGATAAATATTCATTGTAGACGTTTTAGACAAAAAGACAACAAGAAGAAATTAAAATTATATAAAGTCTCACTGTTCAGAGACAACTACAACTAACATTTTGTCATGTGCCTTTCCAATCTTTTTTCTATGTGTATCTACTTCCCAAAAATTACCTGGAATCATACTATATACATTGTCTCATAATCTGCTTTCTGCACTTAATAATTGTGAACATTTTCCCCATGTCACTATTATTCTATAACACCAGCTTTAATTTACATAAATAATGGGAAAAATAAAGACAGTGATCTTTCCTGCTTAATCTTTGTGCATGCCCTAATTATTTCCTTAGAAGTGAAATTGCTGGTTCAAAAGTATTTACTTTTTTAAAAAGTTTTGATGCAAACTGTCAAATTGCTCTCCAAATTATTTGGATTTACACTACTAGAAGTGTTCAGGCTCAGCCGGCATGGCTCAGTGGTTGAGCATCAACTTATGATCCAGGAGATCTCGGTTCAATTCCTGGTCAGGGAACATGCCTGGATTGTGGGCTCGATCCCCAGTTGGGGGCGGTCAGGAGGCAGCCGACCAATGACTCTCTCATCATTGATGTTTCTCTCTCTCTCCCTTTCCCTTCCTCTCTCTGAAATCAATAAATATATATATATATATTTTTAAATCCTTTAAAAAAATTAAAAAGAAGTGTTCAGGAGTAACTATCTCTCTAAACCACATTTTACCTTTTATCAATGTTTTCATAAAGCTCAGAATCTGCAAAGGTTCCAAGTGGCCTTTTGACCAGCGTTCAAAAACCTTCACAATCTGTTTCTGGCCTATCTGTTCAGCCATAGCTCTCCTACTTCTACCCCTTCCCTTCTCTGCAGTCTCACCTTTACATACACACATACACACTCACGCACGTAGGCACACACATCGTCCAAACACATAACCCAAGCTCTCGTTACATGGCTCTGTGACCTGTGTCTTTATTAATTTCTCTCACAAATTCTGACAGCACCTGCTATGTTCCAGGCACTGTTTTCTGGGTTCCCCCCCTTATTTGTGCACATCCTACAGGTTATGTTTCTCTCTCCCACTAAATGATGAGCCTGTGGTGGCCAGGAATTTTTTTCTTGCACAGTGATTAATTGGCTCAACTTCTTGTATATTAGTATGTCACTAATAACTGTGGACTTGAAGGCTGTATCGGTAATTCTGGGCAGAAATTCAAGACCAGAGGCTCAGGTGAAGGGAAAAGATTTAACCCTAGAGGGGTGTGCAAGTAGGGGTATGTAGAGAAGAGAGTGGCTACTCACAGAGGTTTCTATAACCAAGATAAGAGAAGGGACAAGAGGACAGGAAAAGGAGCAGTAAGTGATGGAGAAACATACTAACTTTTAATCCAAGAATTTTTCCCTATGTTTGAAGCCATCTATCTACTAGACAGACCTATTTCCCCAAAGAAGGAAGGTGAGACGAGGGAGGAAAGAAAATGATGCTTTCTGTGTGATATCTCAGTTACTCCTCCCAACACCACAAGTATATGTTACTATTTCCACTGAAAGAAACTGAGGTTCAAGGACGTGAAACCACGTGACTAAGGTGATATGGTGAGATGATGGAAGAATTAGGATTCCTACCCAGTCTGTCTGGCTCCAGCATCTTTCTTATTTTCTGTACAGTCTACGGCTAAAGAAAGAAAAAACTGAAACCTATTTGGACTGTTTCTGTCTCTCAAATCCCATCCATGAACTTGGTCAACAGTTCACATAAATACTTTCTCACAATCCCAGCCAGGATCCCTGCAGATCCCATTTAAGCAGCTGGACTCTGATGAATTACTCAAACACCAAAACAGGATCTTTCAAAGCAAGTGAGCTCCATGGTCATTTCCTCTGCCTCTCGTTTCACTTAAGCAAAGGGGATATTCGCAAGCATGCAGATCCTCTTTGGCCACTACCCCCAGCAACCAGCATTAACCTTTGAATTTCTCACCACCGTTTACTGAAGAGCCATGACATGCCCAGAGATATTCACTGACTGATGGCAAAGTTACTAAAACATCTAGATTTCCTGATCTGTTCTTCCTTTCACCCTGTCCTTTTCAGTTTAAGATTAAAGACTTTGTCCTTCGGAGGCCTTCCTAAAAATAGCATGCTCAGGTTTAATTAAAAGAGGCTGTTCTTTTCTGGTATCCTTTGTTGTCTCCCCTGCACTAGTTCCTGTCTCTCCTACCACTCTTTGACCATTGTCTGTTCTTCATTATATCATTAAGAGTCCATGTCAATGAAGTATTGCATAGTGTCTGCCACCTGTTCCTTCCGCTCCATCTTATCAGGGCCATGTTCTTTTGGCAAGCATATACTGAGCATCTACCGTGTGCCAGGTTCTGTGCCAGCAGCTGGTCCTCACAATTTTATTTCTAACAATCACAACAGCTTCCTGCTGTCGGATCTCCTGCCTTAAGGGTTCTCTCTGAATCCACCTACTGCATCCTGCTGCCCAGTCTGTCTTCCTGAAACACTGCTTTGCAAACAGCATTCTCCACCCATCTGCTCACAGGATTCAATCCTTACTTATTAGCTCTCTCCAGTGTGCCCTCTTGATGCCTTTTAGACCTTTCTTTTCCTCCATACACAGTCTACATTCTACCATGTTCTATTCATTTGCTCCCTAGCATGCCATATACATTTCCACCTCTGTGTCTTACAGCTTTTTTAATTTCCAAATTCCACTCCATGTGTACTTAGTAAATGTATTGGGCAAACTCTATGCCTGGGATGGCAGTGGATGTTGCCCAACTAGTAGGTTTTAGTTAAGGAAGAGAAGCATCCTAGCACCCTTTCTAAGAGGGGTCTGAATGATCCAGAGGTAGGGGTGAGAAGCAGTACTAACCACCTCTGTCTAGAGAAGTCTAATGACCTAAGGAACTTCAGGCCCTCGATCCAAAGTGCTGCTAGGAGATGAGTTCCTTGGGCTACCTTGCTAAATCTTGAGATGAGAAATCCAATCAACTCACTCTTCCATTCACTCAGTCATTCAACAGAATAGTTACTGGGTACCACCTATGTGCTAAGTGCTGTGATGAGCGCTTGGGGGCAAAAATGGTGAAAATGATAAACAGTTCCTGCTATCATGGAGCCGTTAGTAGAAAATACAGACATTAAACACATCAATAAGTGAATAAATAAAATAATAAAAATGTGGAAGAAGTGTTAAAAAAGAGAAATGAAGTGTTATGATGCAGCAGAGTGGGATACGGTAACTGGGGAGAGGAGGTACTCTCAACCAAAGTCTCTCTGAAGAAGACATTTAAACTGAGATCCAAAAGATGAGAAGCCAAACACTCAAAGTGACATGCCAGGCTCTTGAACAGCAAGTGCATGGGCTCAACACACATAAACACACAACACACACACACACACACACACAGGCCAATGCAGGGCAATAACTACTCAAGGTTGGGTCTTATCTGTAATTCATTTGTCCACTGAAGATGTCCAGCCCTTTCTATCAGAGCCAAAACAGCTTTTCTTTTTATTAAAAAAATATTTAAGACTTTCAGTTCATGGGTCTTTCAAATGACTGGGATTTAAATCACACTTATATATATTTTTTCTACTTTGCTCTGCTATTTATTTCCAACTCAAATTTACATGATATTTCCAGAACCCAACAGAGCATTACTCTAGTAATCCTCATCACTCTGTATATTGTAAATAACGCTTTATCACTTGTTAAAGTTGGTATACACCAGCTCTTAAGAAAATCTAGAAGTTGCTTTCCATACCTCGTTGATTAACTGGATCTTTAGCTACGTAGGCAACATAGTCTGTAGTATCCTATAAAAAAATGGAAAATGATCGCATTTTAAATGAATGGATTGTACTGTTGAAAGATAAGAGTACATTTAGGACATGATACTGAGGCGAGGACTTAAATACTAATGTTTCTTTTCAAAGAGAAAAGGAAAGCATCTTAGGAGGGAACATAAATACACACATAACTCAGTACTTGTGGAGTCCACTTTCTCTGCCCCATGGGGAGAGAATCTGAAGATTAAAACTTAGAGGCAGACCATGTCACTAAGAATAAAAGAATACAGGTAGGAAATAGGTTAGGACATATATCCTAAAAAATGGTGAGGGGCTGTGACTCTCCTGTGTTGAAAGCTGAAATACCAGGGGTTATGTGATCACAAAGGTGTCTTAAACTAGGATGTGGGTGGCATCATGATTTCCCAGCTGTTCAGACACTATGTACATCAGAAAACAAGTAGATTAAAGAAACGCTTTGAGTTTTGTGGTTGTTAGTTTGCTTGCGTGCAGGGACAATAAAGCCGTGATATAAGCATTTATTTGATCAAGATAGAGAAAGGAAAAATCAGTTTTGAAAAAGGGAGCCCATTAAAACCTAAAGAGTTTTTTTTTTAAAAAGAGAGATGTGTTGCTGATTTTGTAAAAACAAACAAACAAAAAGCCAATTCTAATTTTTATAGAAAACAGTAAGCTGATGAATAATAAGATCTGAATAATTAAAGATGCTTTTTGTTATCTCAGTTCTCAGGGAAAAAATGCACATTGCCATTTGGAGATTAGAAGTATGACTCTCTAGAGGGAAGATGCAATCTACTGGCAGGAAATAAAGGCCAGTGTTTGCAATACCCTCAAGGACAATCACTTAACCCACGATGAATCAGACAGGAAGTGTATCTCAGGATCAGCATAACTAGTCTTGAGTTATTTCAAAACATAACACACACCTAAGTAAATTTCTCTTATGCAAAAAGGTAAAAGGTTTGAAATAGCGTGTAAATATGTAAGTTCATCTCTCCAGGCTTTGTTTTACATTAATATAGGAAAGCCACAGTTGCTGGGGGCTTAGTTGCTATTTTTAAAGTCAAAGAGGCGGCATGATGCCGACAGTGGTGTCTGGTATAGTAGATGATGGGAAAGAGGTCACGGGCCCTCTGCAGGCCTCAGTTTCCTCATCTTCAAGTGAGTGTTGAACAGTCTCAGAGCTCTAAAATTCCATAACTGCAGGTATCTGGGAGAATCTAAAGAATGTTAAAAGTAAAGCACAAATAGTGGGGGAAACTATGAGAAAACATTTTTTTATTTATGTTTTATTAAACTTATTGGGGTGACAATGGTCAATATGAACATACAGATTTCAGGTGTGGGTTTCTGTTGAGAAAATGTATTTAATCTGGTCATATTCGTGAATGCATTTTGAAATGGAGAAGGTATATGTAGATACAGAAGCATTACTGAGAACTGTCTTCAGGGCTGACAGAGGAAGACATATAAACTGTGTTTGAGAAGAGAGTAAAGGTGAGGGTGAGCAAAGGTCACTAAGTAAGGAAGAATGTCCAGTGTTTTTTAAACTTTGGAGAAAACAGGGTAGAAAGAAGGGCACTACATTAGGCCATGGAGACTTAGCTTCCTACCCCGTGTACCCAGTTAGCTGTGAAGCTGTGAATTATCTCAGTGAGTGTCCTGAAAAAAATACGGACATGTGTTAGCAACCACGGTGATAGTTCTTGCTTATCACTCTGGGCCAGGCACTACCCATTTATGCAAGTCATTTCACTCAATTCTCCGGACACTTCGGGGCAAGGATGGTCCTTCCCCATTTTACAGATGGGAACCCTGCAGCTTAGAGAGGATACATAGGTAACGTCTACTTGACTCCTGGCACTCTACCCTCCAATTTCCCTGACCTGAGGGTAAAACTTCACCCGGAGACCTCTAATGCCAATGTTTATGGAGGCTCCAGTTTTTTTTCGAATCAGCAGGCTGTTGCCCCAGCTGTAGGAAGCACTGAAGTCCCACGCAATTCAGTAGGTAAAAACTTCCCCACAGTGGGAAGCTACAAATTCTCTACTGTTTGTTTTTGGTAGGGGCAATGCTTTGGTGGGCTGAAAGAACTACAGAACTAAAGGCACATGAAGACGTCTAAAAATAATTAGGATTCTGGAAAAGTATGATAGACATCGTGCAGGGCATGCTTATGATAAATGCTTATGGTAAATAAAAGGGTTTGCACACCAATCCTAAAAATGACAATAACACTTGAAACTCAAAAGGGGACATTTAAGGCAAATGGCAACAATTATTTTTCACACTACACTTATGGAACTCATTACTTTAAGTATCTTAAGGAAAGTACTGGAGTTCCTTCATGGATAGTGGAACTAGAATGAGTGAGAAGAAGAGACAGGGCTGGGCTTTTCAGGCTCGATTCAGGCTACTCTCTCTGCCACCAAACACATCCTTTGGTGTTGCCGTGATCAGACTTCAGATTCAGTACTGGGGTCACACTGCAGCTGCTAAGGGGCAGGCACCTTGTGTGCCCCTGTTTGCTGGTGAATCCACAATGAGCCCTTTGTGAAATCTCTTGGGGAAAAGGTGGAACTCTTAAAATTTGGTGTACTTTTAAATGGTGGCACCACGGAAGTAAAATATTCATTTGAAAGTACCTATACTCAAGGCTGAAAGGTGAGGACATAGTGAAGCCTAGAGGGAAAATTAAGTACTCATTGATAAAAGAAAAGAAACAACAGTGATTTAAAATCCCATAAAGGTTGCTTCTCTTTCCTACAATTCGAGGAAGGAACGAGGCAGGTTGTCCAGGTGTGACAAGCTTAAACAGTTTGAGTCACTGGGAGCCCATGGGAAAACAAGTAATTATTGAGATGATTTAAAGAATGGGCTGATTGAAATACCATTTAACTATGTATTTCACACACACAAAAAGTTATGCCAACACCCAAAAGGAAGAACTTGCTTAAATACATTAGATACCAGTAAAGGAAACGATTATACAGAGAAGCTTCAGAACCGTATTTCCTTTTAGGATAGACTTATTTTTCCTTTAAATATTTAGCCTCAAGATTAAAATCAATCAAAACACTTACCACCAGATTTAGCGTTTAATACCATTCCATACCTCTCTTGGGTTTCTGGTTATGTATCCTATCATTTATGACCCTAAATGTTGCTCCTTAATTGGAAAAGAGAAGCTAAATATGTTGGAGAGGAGAAAAATCGACTGTTACAAAGTGGATTTTATGCCTCATTTCTGAAGAATATACTCTTTAATAATAAATGCAGAAAAGTAACATATTGTCGGTAAGGACAAGGTCTTCATATGTTCCCCATGTTTTCCTGACATTACTGATGATCAGCCGTTATGAAAGTCAGACTCTGCCCTCCTCTAGCCTTCTATATGTTTGCAAGTAGAAACATGTCATGATGTCACAGAGGAGCAAAGTTCTCCTACTCCCTCAGTTTGAACAGATTTGTTTTTTGTTCAGTCACAGGCTCCTTAGCTTTAATGCCCCTCTCCTTTTGCTCTGGCCCAGAAATGATGCGGTACCAAATCAGGAAATGACCCTCCACTCTGCAAAGTAGGCCCGCAGAAAGAGCACCACCAGCTCAGTCCCATGCCGTTCATGGAAAGTGAGCACCATGTGGCCTCGTGGTGGAGAGAAACTGCAGTTCTCTCTCCCCACCTGAGCTTTACCTTCTTAAGTTCCTGCAAACCTGGTTGCTCATTCTAGACTAGATTTAGTTGCCCTGTAGGCAGATAGGCTTCCCCTCATATGCCAGATCCAACTGGTTAATAGCACCTGCCTGGAGCTCTACGTGAGGATTCTGAAGAAGGACTGGCAACACATGTATGACATACTTGTTTTCATAACTTTGATGTTCTCTATAAAAAGCTTCTCAGATTATAACTCCATGGCTAATACCACAGTGGAGCATTATTAGCTCACCTACTAATCCAAATATCTTAAAAATCAGTGACAGGATACATTTCATCAAAATCAAATTTTTGATTACCAGCTACATGTAGCTATTCACAAATTCTAATAAGATATTTGGAAAGGACATGTAGTGGCTAATATGTTTTACGTGGAAGTTCTTTTAACTCTTACAAAAGAACTTTTATGAATCTATACTTACAGGATCCCCTCCAGAGGCAAATGAAATAGACTGCATGTGATGATTTGCAATAATCTGGAAAACATAAACAAATTAAACATGTATAATGCTATAAATTAATTACTCCTACTTACATACAATCTAACAGCCAATAGACATACATTTGTTTTGGTTTTGCCTGGACAGCATCTCTTTGGAATCTACTCCACCCACACTCTATATTAATCTCACTTAGATGATGAGATTTGGGTGGGTTTGACATGCGCATCTCATTGCTCTTCTCCTTGCAGCTGGATGCATGATCCAGGCCTAGCTAATCAGAAAACATCTGGACACAGCAGAGCCAATCAGTGTTTTTGGGGAGAAACTGATACGGACAATAGGAAAGGATACATCTCTCTCTGCCATTAAAAACCACAAAAGCCCAAAGTTTCTGTAAGCCACCTTTTGCTGACATGTCGGACAATCCTACTGGAAAAATGAAGCTTTCCCTCTGGAGAAAATCAGCTGAGAATTGAAAGTAGAAAAAAGTACAGACCAACAGTTGTCAGAAGGGAGAGGGTAGGAAGGCTAGGTGCAAAAAGTAAAGGGGTTAAGCCTCCCCCCAAAAAACCTCATAGACAGACAACAGTGTGGTGATTACCAGAGGGAAAGGGGTGGGGGAACGTAAAGAGGGTAAAGCGGGGATAAATGGTGATGAAAGAAGACTTGACTTGGGGTGGCGAACACACAATATAGAGATAATGTAATATAGAATTGTACACCTGAAACCTATATAACTCTATTAACCAATGTCACCCCCAATAAATTCCATAAAAATAAATAAATAAATAGGAAAAAGTCTGGTGGTAACATTTGTTTCATCATTTCAACCAATATAATTCCTGTCCCCCCTTGATCTTTTTTTCTATTTTATTAATTTATTTTTCTATAAATTAGTTTGAATTGGGTTTCAGTCATTCACCACCAAAAGTATCCTAAGGAATTAACATTAAGATTTCCAGTATGAAGTAAGATGATTCGAGTGAACTGCATTACTTAGCCAAGAAGATTATCTCTTTTACTTGAGATTCTAGCATCACTTGTTTGTACTTTCCATAACGTAACAACCAATTTGCAGAGATGTATTTGTCATACTGTTTTGAAGATTCATTAAAATACCAACTGTGCGCCTATTAATTAATCCTGTCTTGAGAAGTGTTTAACAGAATATAGTAAAGTAGCTTACATAAAGTGACCAAGCAATTCTGCTCCTAAATATATATACAACAGAACTGTGTAAATATGTGCACCAAAAGGTATGCTAAAGAGATGATTACTGGCCTTTTCGTAATAGCCTGCAACTGGGAACAATCCCAGTGATGATGACTATTGTGATAGTCCAGCAACAACTTGTTTCTTAGGCAAAATAAGCCAGACACAAAAAAATATAGGCTGAATGATTTCATTTATATGAAGTTCAGAAACAGCCAAATTATTTTATTCCGTTTGAAGTTAGGATAGTGATTACTTCTGGGGCAAAGGAACAGAGAGCAAGTGGTTTTCTGGGATAAAATGGTGTTTCTTTATGTGGGTAATAGTTATGCAAGTATGTTCATTTTGTGAAAATCATTATTATGTGTGCACTTTTCTATATTTATATTTTCTATGTTTACATTTCAGCTAAAATGATTACTAAAAACAAAATCAATATACAAAGATCAATGCCATTCCTATATATCAGCAATAGCCAATTAGAGACTGTATTTAGGGGTAAAGGAGGTACATTTTACAAAAGTACCTCTATAAAGAACTGTGTGAAGCTTTTTGGAAAACTTCATTGAAGGGTATAACTACTACCTGAACAAGTAAAAAGTAAAAAGATATACATCACCTTGATGGATTAAAAGATAATATTATAAAGATGTCATTAATTAATCTGTAATTTCCATGCAATTCCAATAAAAATTCCACCAATGTCACTCAGGGAATTTTTCATGCTGATTCTAAAATTCATATGGAAGACTAAATGTACAAAAAAAGCTAAAGAAATATTTTTTTAAAAACAAAGATACTAGACTTTCCTTATTAGCAAGGTACTTTTAATCTATGATAAATGTAGCACCAAACAGACAAAAGAACAAGTGACTAAATTAGTGGAATTCGCTGAATTAGCTATATATATGGAAAAATATATCAATAAATCCTGTCCTCATACTATCTATATAAACAAATGTATGATTCATAAAAATCTACTAATACATCAGAAGACAGATAAAAGATTACACTTGTGATCACTGAGATAGGAAAGGCCCATCTTAATAGACAGAAAAAGACATTTTTTTAGAAAAAACACCCTTAAATTAGATTACATAAAAACTCATTTTAAAACTTTGTATAAGAAAAGATCCCTGAAACAGGACAAACAACAGGAAGAGAGAATATATTTGCAACATGTAAGACAAAAGTACTCATATAAAGAGTTTATAAGGAATTATTACGTTATCAATAAGAAAAAGAAATAAACCCAAAGTAAAACCAATTAATTTTCAGAAGTAATACAAATGTTCAATAAACACATTGAAAAATAATCAATCTCCAAGAAATCAAGACTCTTCAAAATAAAACAAGATATCAAATTGATATAACTATCATGTTCAATATAATCACATGTGGCAAGGGTATGGATATTCTCAAACACTGCTAGCCAGAGCTTAAATTTGTATGGCAACTTTGGAGAGCAATTTGACAGTATTTATTAAAACAGCAGTATGCACACCCTGTGGTTCCACCTTTCCACCTCAAGGTATTTATTCTAGAGAAACGCTGGCACACATTGACATTTATTTAGCCACAGTTGATAATATCAAAAAATTGGAAATTATTTTTGCATAGTTAGACCAACCACAGTATAACTATATAAATGAAATGCTATGAAAATATATATATGTATATATGTATATATATACACACACACACATATATATATATATATTACTAACAAAGCTAAATCTTCAAGACATTGCTGAGGGGTTTGTTTTGTAAGTTGAAGACAGTTGTGTGAGACGTTCAAGAAAGTGAGATTTTTCCACGAGGACCTAAGATCCATGTAAACGCAAAGGAAAAGGATTTAAAGAATACACAGACCCGGGTGGGCGTGGCTCAGCGGTTGGGCATCAACCTAGGATCCAGAGGATCGGGGTTCGATTCCCCGTCAGGGCACATGCCTGGGGTTGCGGGCTCGGTCAGGAGGCAGCCGATCAATGACTCATCATTGATGTTTCTATCTCTCTCTCTCTCTCCCCCTCTCCTTTCCTCCCTCTGAAATCAATAACGATATATTAAAAAAAAAAAAAGAATACACACGAAATTGATAATGGTGGAAAGTCACCTCTTGGGAAAAGAAATGGGACCGAGTATATCCTCGCTGTAACTTTCTTTAAAGAGCACAGATAATACACTTCTTTGTGACTTTAACTTTTCCTAACGGGAAAAACTGGCGGGGAGGGGGAGGCACGGATCCGTTCTCGACCTGTTGCCGAGCGGCTGAGCACCCCGCGGCTGGGGGTGTGGACTCAGAGGCGAGGAGCGCAGACAAAGGCGGTGAGAACCGAGGAGCAGAGCCGCG